AAATTGTGATTCTTTGTATCCACCTGTCTGTCTCTCCAATTTGGGGGGCAGCAGTTTGTCCAGCTGGACGGAGTGACAACTTCAAGCTCCTTACATACTGGACTGGAGACCAGAAGTCCCCCAAATATTCTCCAACTGGTGAACGGATGGGACACCGTGGTAGAGCCAAACAATGGAATACTTACTACTCAGCAATAAAGAGAAACAAACCACGGTAGAGTCAACAACAGGGATGAATCACAAATGCACTATGCTAAGTGAAAGGAATCTGATTCAAAGGCTGTATGCTGTGTTCTTCCATTTACGTGACATTCTGGAAAAGGCAAAACCATGTGGATAGAGAACAGATCAGTGGTTGCCAGAGGTTAGAGATGGGAGTGGGTCTGACTATAAAGCGGCAATAGAAAAGAATTTTTGGAGGGTGGTGGAATTGGTCAGTATCTTGGTCGTAGTCATTATGTGAATCTATGCATTTGTTAGAACTCAAAAAACTATACAATAAAAAGTACATAAACTTAAAAGTAATTTTTAAAAATTACCATGACAACACCTCCATCCAGGTTGTTTCCAGGCTCTACTTGAAGGTTTCCTGTGATGAAGAATTTACTCTTTTCAGAGACCACTGATCCTATTATTGTACAGCTTCCCAATCACTGTGCTGTGAATGGGTTACACGTTGCCAGGATACTAAACGTCTCAGCCCTCAAGCACATAGGCGTCATTGAACTATACTTTTCCATAGTGGGCTGTAAAAATTCTTTAATTTTCTTTCATTGTCACAAAGTGAAAAAGGATGCACTAAGTTATTGGATAGCTCAAAGATTGTCTTATACACTGAAACAATATCAGCCTAGCTGCACTGTCCACCCTCAGTGGTCCTAGATTTTCCCCTTGCTTGGAACCAATTTTCTCCCTCGTTATATATATGAAAGTTCCTCAGATAATTGGAGATTGGCTATACGTTTTCATATTCCCACCATTATCAATTCTTCTCTGAGTAAAACGTGTCTGGTTCCTTGGGCTGTTCCTCACAGGGCATGTTTTTAAGATTCATCACTCCCCAGAACATGATCTTTATTGTGAACGTTTCTTCCCAATCTCCAGAATAGAACATGATATTTAATTTTTAATTAGCATCAGATCTATAAGGGAAAAAAATGTTTAATTGAAATTGGTCCCGTGATTTCTACCTTCATACATCCAGCAGAGAACGCATAATGAAATCTTTCTTTGCAGACTGAAAATATTACAGGGTCTCATGATCATCGAGTTTTGTGGTCTAATTGTACTGGTTCTATAGTCTCTAAGAGTTCTTGGAGCACTTTCAAATTCTAGCATTTGGGGACGACTCACTAGAAGGAATTCATAGACTTGAAATATCACCAAAGTCAACAATAACTATAACACAATCACCAGCACCATCTCTCAGCATCTATAAAAGGATCCACATCTATAAAAAGATCTGCAGTTGTCACACCGTATACTTGGACTTCCTCCAGCACTATGTCATCCTGTGACTAGAGCTCCTTGTTGCCCTGACCACTTTTTCTCGAATGCTCATGAGGGAAATTCCTCTCATCTTCCAGGAAACAGGAAACCATTCTTAGGTTTCAGCTAATCTTCTCAGGAAACTGTTCCTCACTCACGAAGCATCTCACTATCTACTTAGTTCACATTCCGGTGGACAGACATTGCTATAACACTATATGTACTCAAGGAGAAATAAATTTTATCTCCTGTGGGTTTATGGAATGTTAGTTGAAACCCCTTGGCCTACGACTTCAGATGCAGTAAAAGTAGGTTTAAGAAATTGGGTTGAAGTCTGCCAACCCCAAGACATCCCCTCAATGGATATTTGAAACACACATTGCAAGTAACAACTTAAATTGACCACAGGGGCCAGCCCAGTGGTATGGTGGTTAAGTTCACTCACTCCAGTTCAGGGGCCCAGGGTTCGTAGGTTCGGATCCCGGGTGCAGACCTACACACTGCTCATCAAGCCATGCTGTGGAGGTGTCCCACATACAAAATAGAGAAAGATTGGCACAGATGTTAGCTCAGAGCCAATCTTCCTCACACACACAAATTGACCACAGATCATTTTTCTAACTTTCATTTCTATTAATTGGTAAGTGGAGGAAATACAGATAAAATAACATTTATTTCTATAGGCTAGGAAGAAATTTCTGGATAAGTAGGATTTCTGCTAAAGCAATTTAAAAGTAGAATTTTGCTTGAATAGGTCTATTAAAAGTGAGAACAGCTCTGCAAAAGATACTGAAAAGACAGTGAGAAGACGAGCCATAGACTGGGAGAAAATATTTGCAAAAGACATATCTGATAAAGGACTGTTATATAAAATATACAAAGAACTCTTAAAACTCAACAATAAAGAAGTGAGCAACCTGATTAAAAAATGAGCAGAAGACCTGAACAGACACCTCACCAAAGAAGATATACAGATGGCAAATAAACAAATGAAAAGATGCTCAACATCATATGTAATTAGGAAGTGCAAATTTAAAGGAGATACCGTTACATACCTATTAGAATGGCCAAAATCCAGAACAGTGACCCCACTCTCCTTCGCTGCTGGTGGGAAAACAAAATGGCACAGCCACTTCAGAAGACAGTTTGGCAGTTTCTTACAAAACTAATCCATACAATCCAGTAATCACACTCCTTGATGTCTACCCAAAGGAGTTGAAGAGTTACGTCCACACAAAGACCTGCACCCAGATGTTTACAGCAGCTTTATTCCTGATTGCCAACACTTGGACGCAACCAAGACGTCCTTCAGTAGGTGAGTGGATAAATAAACTGTGGTCCATCCAGACAATGGAATATTATTATTCCATTCCAGCACTAAAAAGAAATGAGCTATTAAGCCACGAAAAGACATGGAGGAACCTTCAATGCATATTACTAAGTGAAAGAAGCCAGTCTAAAAAGGCTGCACACTGTATGATTCCAACTCTATGACATTCTGGAAAAGGCAAGACTATGGAGACCCTAAAAAGATCAGTGGTTTCCAGAGATTCAGGAGAGGAGGGATGAACATGGCAAGCACAGAGGATTTTTTAGGGCAGTGAAACTATTCTGTATGATACTATGTTGGTGGATACACGTCATTACAGACATGTCAAAACCTATAGAAGGTAAAACACCAGAGTGAATCCCATGGACTTTGGGTGATAATGATGTGTCAGTGTAGGTTCATTGATTGTAACAAATGTACCGGATGTTAATACTGGGGGGGCTGTCGAGGGATATGGGCGGAGGGGCTTAGAAGGGGTATACGGGAACTCTGTACCTTCTGCTTAATTTTGCTGTGAACCTAACACGGCTCTAAAAAATAAAGTCTATTGTTAAAAAAAAAAAAAAAAACAGGTAGAATAGCATTTCAGCACACTGTGGGGTTTTCAGGTTTCTTCTTATGCAAAGGGAAATTGTTGCGGTATCTAGTAGGAGCCAGCAACACAGCTGCACTCACCACCTGGAGGAGTTTCACTCTCTTTGTACCTGTGTTAATCTGTAGAATGCAGGGAATGTAGAATTCCCTACAGGCCTAGGGTTGAAACTCAACAGCCGAGCATCTTCTCCGTCCTCTCCAAACTATCTTCAGGTATGAACTGACCGCTCATTCTCTCTTCCGTCTTTATGAACCCAGCAGATCAACTCATCTTCCTGAGGTCTCTTCCTTAGCCTCACATGTGGCCTTTCAACTTTAAGGGGGTGGAGCTCTGATGTCCAGGCAGTAAGGAGTTTTTTGTTAGTTTTTCTTTCGTTTTTTCCCTATATCAGGAACTTTTACTTCATAAAATATCTTGTAGCCTTTCTCACACCCAAATTTTATGTAATGGGGCCACAGTAGGACAAAGGCGTTCTTATGACAATGTAGAATATCTTCTATTGTGACCAAAGGGCCATCACACTCAAAGGAAAATACATAGTCTTCCTAACTAGAAAATAAGAATCATCAAATCATAGAATTAGAAGACACCTTAAAAGTCATTTTGTCCAGCATGAATATTTGTAAACAAAAAAATCAGAGTGGGGAACTGATTTATCAAAGGGCACACAGCTTGGGGCTGGCCAGCTGGGTAAAGGTTAAGTTGACACCCTCTGCTTCAGTGGCCTGGCGTTTGTAGGTTCAGATCCTGGATGTGGACATACACACCACTCGTCAGGCCATGCTGTGGTGGCGTCCCACATAGAAGAGCTAGAATCACTTGGAACTAGGGTATACAACTATGCACTGGGGCTTTGGAGAGAGAAAACAAAGAGAGATCAGCAGCAGATGTTAGCTCAGGGCCAATCTTCCTTACCAAAAAGCACACCTTAAAAAATAACACAAAAGGGCACACAGCTAGGTTCATAGGAAAGCTAAGACCAGAAACCCATATCTGTCCATTCCAACCTGGTGCTATTTCCACTTTAGGCACAGTGTGAACTTTTTGGAAAAGCCAATAAAAGTCTTCCAACTGTTCTAAAAATGTGCCCAATCCTTATGTCAACATTTCACATGGAGTGCCTATACGCTTAAATAAGTAATTTTGTTCTTTCTCTCTTACTGCTTATCTCAGATCTGGTAGGAACTGAGCTCTTCCAAGACCTCTCAAACCCACTCAGTTGTATGAATAAATGTAACCCAAAATTTTCAAATGCCTACTAGGTGCCACCACTGAGGACACAAAGATGAATAAGATGCTCTCTATTCCCCTAAGGAGTTCATCATCGAAGGAGCCCAAACGACGTGTGAACACCCAGCTGAAGTACCCTGTGCTGAGAAGTGTGAAGGGAGTGTTTTGGGGGCCGGCTGCAGAGAGTGGCGCATCCCACCTGGAATGGGGTGAGTGTGGAGGCCGGTGCTGAAGAGGCAGAGTTTGACCGGCTGAGGGAAGGATGAGGAAGATTCCGCCAGAGAGGGCAGGTTAAGGAGGCGGGGAACATTCCAGGCAGAGGATGGAGCATGAGCAAAGCAGGGAGGCATGAGACAGCTGGCTATTTTTGGAGACCAGCGATTAGACTGGAGAGGCTGACAGATAGGATAATGGAAAGTGGGTGGTGGGAGAAAAAGTTGGAAAGTTGATTTGGGGCAAGATGAAGAAACTTGAATGCCACGTCAAAAACCTTTAACATAATCTCCTAGTAACGGGGCGCTAACAGCGGTCTTCCAGCTGAAGGGCACCGTCCTCGGATCTGTATTTGGAAAGACAACTCTGGTCGCAGTGTGAGATGTGGAGGAGAGGTGGGGAAAACTGAGAGGGAGGCTTCTGAAAACGGCTAGGCAGGACATCTGAGCGAGGGCAATAAGAGGAGCAGGGTTAAGAAGAAGGGATGGATTCCGGAGAATTCTTTAAGTGTCTGTTGTCGACACAGGTGAGCAGTCGTGGACTCTATTCAACCCATGGAAATATCTCCTGAGAATACAAGTCACTGGTCCACTTCTGACCCTCTGTGAGTTGATTCCCGTTTGTCAATTTGCCGGCCCTGTGATTCCCACGTCAGGCGCTTGTGCTGCTTCGGGCTTCTCCTAGAGGCTTCGTATCGGCTGAATAGCAGATGTAGGAACAGCCTCTGTGCAACCCGAGGGACCACTGATGTAAAGCCCTGCCAGCCTCTCAGTACAAGATGAGATTGAGTTGGTGCTTTGGCTGTGGAGGTGCTCAGACCTGCAGTGGCTCTCAGACCTGCAGTGTCCTCTCTCCCGACTACATAATGCTGACCAGATCAGTTAAAATTTCCCTCAGAGCGTTGACTCTGGAGCAGAGAACCTGGTTCAAGTCCTGACTTGACCATTTACTAGCTGTGTGATCTAACCTCCTCAGCCAGGTTCTTCATTTGGAAAAAGGGGACTAAACACCTATACCCTCCCACTGCTTGAGAGAGAGACAGAGAGGAGAGAGATCACATCCCAGGGAGGCTCACACACATGGCAGTGCTTTTAACCGGAAGACCACTATGTAAGGAACACTTCATCACTATAATCAGCCAGTGATGAATGGCCATAAAAACAAGGAGACCAATAAAAAATCTGGATGATGCAAGTAAATCAACTTTTTGTTTCACCAAATCTCACTTCATTTCAGTGACGATGACAGTATTCGCTTTTTATCTCCTGGGAAAAAAGAACCATCTTGATGCATTTAAGTGTTGCTTTGCCCATTTCTCTGTCTTTCATGGACGGAATACATGGCCAGGAGCAAGCTCGGAATGGTAGTTTTAAATTAATTCTCTCTTTGAAATAAGAGCCAATGACAAATGTCAGACCAGTGGTGCATAGAAATAGTGAAAAGGCCTCGTTACTCCAAGAATGTGGCTGACATTGAATACATTATGGTCCAATTATGTTCTTTTCAGAGTGGCTAGGATGCGCAGATGGAAGCTGAGATTCCCAGGGCTGTAAGTTCTTCTGCAGTGCATTCCCTCTTCGCATGGTGTGGTTTAGAGCGATGGTTTTCAAAGTGGAAGGTGGGCAGCACCCTAGGCAACATGTGAAACAATACTGGGGAATGAGAAAAAGAATTAGAACTTTTATTATATTTATTTTTATCTTTTTTAGTGCCTAGTTTTGACTACGTTTCATAATGCATGTAATGTTACAAGAATATGTTTATAGTTTATATACATACGTGTGTGTACGCATTGCTTTTACTGAGGGGACCATGATCAAACAAATTTGGGAACCACTGTCGTAGAAGGGTTTCAGAGTTCGATCTGGGTTTGAATTTCCTGTCCCCTTGGGGATCTGTGTTTCCCAATGACTTTCTAGTTTTTAGTCATTCCAGGGGAACCAAGAAGAGGACGCAGTACAGTGTAGTCCTAACATTGCCATTGACACACCGCTGACTCAACTGTGTGGCCTCGGGGGGCCTGCTTAGCTTTCATGAGCAGCATTTATTTCAGTGCTCATTCAGACAATGAGTATAATAATGCCGTCTTTACAAAGTTATTGAGAGGATTAAATAGAATAATATTTACTCAGTTTTGGGGTATAAAGGTAGTTTTAAGATATGTATTTCAGATTGCCTTCATTGTCCCACCTCACTCCCTTGCCTCGTCTTCTTCGTGTCCTATCTTTTCACAATGTCTTACTCACTTATGGTCATTCTGGTGGAAGAAAGGAGCAGGAACAGGGGGTTCCAGTCCTAATATCACCGTTCACTTACGTTGACTCACTCTTCAGCTAGGATTGATTGAGCAGCCTGCTGTGTGCCCAACACATGCTTCATATTATGTATTCTTCACAGAATCCAAAAGAGATCTGCTTCATTTTTCGGTGGAGAAGCTCTAGAACAGTGTTGACCAATAGAACTTCTGCTCTGACGGACACATGCTGTATCTGTGTTGTTCAATACACAGGCACTAGCCACACGTGCGTATTAAACACTTGGAATGTAGCTCCTGTGACCGAGGAACTGAATTTTTAATTTTATTTAATTTTAAATCATTTCAATTTAAATACCTACATATGACTATTGGCTGCTGTATGGACAGCACAACTTTAGAGATTGCTGAACTAACATTCAAGTGTAAGGCAACATTAAGACTGATACGGGGCGAATTGTGTCTCTCCCTGTTTATGTTTTGAAGTCCTAACCCCCAGGACCTCAGAATGCGACTGTATTTGAATATAGGACCTTTGAAAGTAAAATGAGGTCATCTGAATGGGCCCTAATCCAACGTGACTGGTGTCCCTACAAGAAGAGGACATTAGGACATAGGCACACAGAGGGGAAGACCATATGGAAACACGTGGAGAAGATGGCCATCCACGAGACACGGAGAGAGGCCTCAGAAGAAACCAACCCTGCTGACATCGTGCTCTTGGACTTCTAGCCTCCAGAGTTGTGAGAAAATAAATTTCTGTTGTTTAAACCACCCAATGTGTGGCATTTGTTACTGCTGGTCTAGCAAAATAATACAAAGAACTATTCAATTATGTGAGAATTTAGTTCATTTATAATAGACTCTCTCAATGAATTCATCAAGAACACATTCTACCGCACACACATACACACACAGAATTTAAAACGTAAGATACAAAAAATATGCAAGAAACAGTAGTCAAATGAAGAAAGGAGTAAAATTTATAATTAGGTTTAAATAACTACTGACGCATAATGAACAAAACTAATTACAACCTGGAACTGAAACCCCAGATGATCTCCACATCAGAGACGGTGGGCAGGTGTGTAACTGCAAGGTCAAGGTGAAGGAAGAGAGCGAGGTGGTGACGGTGAAAGTATGCTGAGGTTCTTATAAGTTTCTCATCTCATGGAAGAAACAGAATATGGCTACCAATTAAATCTAGACGTCAACAAAAATGCGTATCTATTGTGTCTTAAGAGAAAAACATGGCACAAATAAAACTGTTAAATCCAATAAAAGGCCAGAAAAGAAAAAAGAAACATTATAAAAATAAAACAAGATGAAAGGCACAAGTCCATATGTATCCAAAATCACCATAAATGTGAATGGGCTAAAATCCCCTTTTAAAAGATTACCAAAGTTAGGTAAAACACAAAATACTGTCCATTATTAACCCTGGGAAGCAGAGTAGGATTGTGGAGGGAACTTTCACGTTTTACCCTAAATGCATCCTTATTGTTTAGTCTTTCACAATGAAAATGCATTCCTGCCTTGCCTGTGTAATTAGAAAACATGTTTTTAAGGGTCAGAAACGTTAGAGTCAAACCCAGATTTTCTGACTCAAAATAATTCTACTACAAACATTGCATTTCCCGTGAGCAAGTCAAATCCCTTCTTTGGACCTTAGTATCTGAACCTACAAAATGAAAGGGGTGGGCTGCATTTGTGGCTTTTAAATTTTGTCCCAAAGAAGTATTTTAGAAGCTCTTTGGGGATTCAGAGAAAGGCTATGAGAGTGGGACTGTAAACCACCTATTTACCTCAAGCAGTGACTCCCTCGTTTATCTGCTTTACATATTCATGCTCCATTTGCGATTATCTGTAGAAAAAAGTATTATCATTCTAAAAAAACCCACAAAATTTTAAAAGTTGTTCTCCTGGAAGACTTCTAAAGTCTCTTCTATCTTTAACATTCCAGAGGACTCACCATTTCCCCATTTCTACGATGAACACCCTTTGGCATGAAAACAGAGACCAAGAATATCTCATATGAGGTTGCGGTGTGTTCATATTTGTGAAATTACCACAACCTTCTTTCCAATGAAGTATTGCATCACTCAACCAGTTGCTTTGTGGGCATGTAACTCAAGGGTTAATATGGCTGATTTGAAGGGCTGGATCTTATACACCTTAACATTCAGCTCAACACTAGTGAAAAGTGCCATCACCTGAGAGACAAATGACCTGCATTTCAATCTGGAACCTGCCAATGACTCGTTTCTGGCCTTGAGCAAGTTAGATGAATCTGTCTCAGTGCCCTCAGCTCTAACATGAAGAATTAGTCTATTAAATCTCTGAGCTTCTCGTCAGCGATCAAATTCTATGATTCGGATGAGTCCTGATGCTTGATCAAAGCCAAAATATGTGCATACCAGGCGAAGAGAAATCAGACCTCCTAAGAAAATGTGGGTCCACTGAGACTTATCAAAACCTCTCATAAATATGACGCACCGCCATGTTAAATTCTTAAGTAGGAAAAGATGGTGAACAAAGTAACTCAAAACTATTGAGAGAGAACTTTTCTTCACGGGATGGTGGGCCATGAAGTGACAGGAGCTTGATGATCAGCTGACCTTTTCTACCCCTGAGCTTCTTTGAAGAGATTATGTAAGTATCATTTCAGACATCCATCGTTCTTATTTTTAGCTCTGAGTTCTCTTCACAAGCATAGTGACCTGTGTCTCGGAGTTCCAGAGGGCTCCCAGATATGGCTCATGATTCATTTGCAGGTACCTTGCATTGATTTCCAGGAAGGTCAGGGGAGTAGGAGCCTGGAAAAATGATTTTAGATAAAAATCCGTCTTTGCTCGTGTTTCCATTACAACCACTTGATTGGAAATTTACATTCCACCCATTGATCCCCTGGTGCCATAGGCGATTGGCAATTAAAACAGAACCCAAACAATATTGTTCTCCAAGGGCCTCACAGCTGGTGTGGGGGGAACAAAACTGAGGGCTGTGGTCACGGGCTATTTTCAGCCTCTGATAGCAGTTGTGTTACTCATGTCTCATTCACCCTCTCCCCTCGCCTCCCTCCCGCCCTTCCCTCCAGGCCAAGGCTGGTGACAGCCTCCATATATTTAAAGAGCACGAGAGCCCCCCTTACTCAGTTGAGCCGACAGAGACCACACAAGCAGGTAAGTGGAGTGAAGTAGGCACTCGGCTGGGGGTGGGCTGGCTTGCTGGCTGGTTGGGACCAGGAAAGGTCCCAGAGAGCGAGGGTGTGTTTCACATCCCAAACACCAGCATCCAGTCTGGTTCTGTGAAGAGGCTCAAGTTATGCTCCATTCTGATATGGACCTAGCAGTTGTTCAGAAAATCGCTAAAAGGTTTGGGGGCTCAAGGGAACCTCACAGACAGAGAAATGAATAAGGGATGATTTTTGGTCTAAAACTATTTTCGTGGTGGAATAACGTTTCCTATCGTCTTAGTTAGAAGACCAGCATTCTAGTGTTAGAATCGCATGATGAACGGATGTATGACTTTCACAAAGTTCATGCCCTCGGGGTCTTGATCTCCTCTGCAAAGATCAGAATGGATGTAGGCACATTTTTCTAAACTGTAAAGTACCGCAGGGTTCTAAAGTGGTTGTAATAGACAGAATGCAGCAGAAGCCAGCTTTCCAATGCTCAGAATTGAAAGAATTGTGCTATTCAAAAGGTATGGGTGAATGACTTGAGATTTCTATAATTCACCACATCCTGTCTTGCACATAGCAAATACTCAACGAAATTTGTTGGTTTAAAATAGATTTTACATCCCAAGGATGTTCAGCAACAGGCTTGCTTTTAGTAATTTAAAATTAATCAACATAGGACCCAGAAAAGACATTGCTACCTTGACAACCCATTTAAGGCTCTATTGAATGGGAAGATGATTTGGGGCCCGGGGTGAGGGGTGATTCCCAGTGTGTCCTCTCAATTTCAGGCAAGGATTTTTTTTTTAACATCCCGGTGAATGACAGGCAGGGGTGTGACTGAGAACGAGAAGTGGTTTTAAGCAGTGGTCTGAGCAGAGATGCTGCCTGGAGACGAACGCCAGCGCCGCCGCTAGTCTCTGTTCGCGTCCCTGAGCTGGGGCTGGAATTCCCCCAGGAAGCAGGCAGTGACAGGTCTGAGGAAGCCTGTCTCTCTGCAGCACAGTTCAACGCAATTTAATGAGCTTGTATGGGCCGTCTTCTGGTGGGGCCAGGGGAGGCAGAGGCAGAACTGACGCGGAAGGGTGGGCATGAACAGCAAGAAGGGAGGGAGTGTGGGAGAGCCTGTGCCCTCAGTTTACTTTGGGGACTGAATCTCAATACTGGGTACTTCCAATTCACCCCAATGTATGTAAAATTGCTATATGACCCAGAAAAAGCGACGGATGCTTCTGACTTGGCTTTGGTTCCTTTCTAAACAACTCCATCGTTAACATAAGCCTCGGCTGTCGGCAGGGAGTGCAGCTGACCCCTAGGGCCTGGTGCCCTCTCTGGCCTGGCAGACAGGTGCTCTGCAGCCCACAAGAGGAGGAGGGGAGGGAGGGAGAGAGGGAGAAGGCAAGAGTGAGCAGGATCATTCAACAGGCAAATTGCCACGACCCTCTTGGAAGAAGTGGAGAAAGAATCTTGGTAGAATACAAATTCAGAAATCCTGGCAACCTGAAGGAGGAAATAGAAAAAAACAAAGAGCTTTGGTCATAGAAGCAGTTCAAATTGCAGCTCTGAACATCACACAACTTCTCTGAGTTTCCATTTTCTGAATAGTAAAATTAAAGTAAAGCCACTCAGCCAAAGGGATGTGTTAGAATCACATGAATGAGCTAAAGTATAGGAAAGAACCATAGTAGGAAAACACAAATGCACAAGGCATTTGAGCGACGGCACAGAGCCCAACATTATGAGCCACAGGAGACTTCCCTGCTCGGCTCTAGTGTGGTGATGGAAATCCAGAGGTCAGAGTGGGCCACAAGCTGGCCAGGAGTTAGAAGGTGATGAATTTGTTTCACAGGAGGAAGGACACAGACTAGGAATATAATACATAAACTCCAACTCCCGAGGCAGGCGGACGTCCAGTTATAAGCGTGCTGCTCAGGTTTCTCAAAATACTGTATCCAGGGTTGGGCGTCACAACCAAAGAGACATGTGATGCCTTCAAATGTGAAAAACTACAGTTCTTCATCGCAGTGAAGAAAAGCAGGAAGGGAGACGGGACTGTCTCCTGGGCCGTGGAGGATGGAAGCCTTTTCTGAGCCTCCGAGTGGACCTCATGGTGGGAAAGGGTTGATCACGGTCTGTGATCTGTGCAGTCACAGAATAATATTAGCTTATTTAACCATCACGAAAGGTCCTGCGAGAAGTCATTCTCAGAGGAAGAAATGAAAGTTCAAGGCAACAAAGCAATTACTCAGAGTCAACGTGGCTAGAAAGTGGAGAGCCCGGATGTAAACTGGGGTGCAACACGGTCTTTAAAAAGAAATTATAAAGGGCAAAAGAAAACAAAGTGAGTTTCTAGGAGTAAAAGGCAGCCACACTTGGAGATAATTTCAGAAAAGATGTAACATGACCCACGTGTGAGAGCCTTAGCTTAACAGGCAGGTGTGTCTACCGTGTCTCTATTTGAAAGGGATGAGAGCTAACACTTGGGTTTGTTTCTGTGCTGGGAATAAGCACCGGATGCTTCCCAGGCGTCGTGGAAAGAACTTTGTGTGGGGGACTTCGTCTCACTGTCCAGAAGCGTAGGAGGAAGCCACTGACCTTGAGTGTCCTACACGGGGGCTGAAGGGTGTGGTCTCCCTGGGCCACAGAGACTGCTTGGGCTCGCTGATTCCCTTCAAAGCCCAGATCACCAGGGAGATCAGCTGGTGTTAGGCATCAGCACTGCCAAAGCCAGGAAGTGGCTGTCCCAGGGCACAGGCTTAGGACCTTGCCTGGCCTGCCGTCCCTGCCACGGGGCACCCTGATCCCCAGAAGGGGCCAACTCCCCCTGGCCTGGCTGTGTTTGTTCTGGGTGCAGCATGCTCTGAAAGGCTGAGGAACAGAGCTGGTTCACAATCTGAATCAGAAGGGCTGCAGAGAAGAAACGGAGAGATTTGCTTGTTTTAAGAAAATGGATTTAAAAACCAGAGATAAAATAACAATAGCAGGGGCCAGCCCGGTGGCGCAGCGGTTAAGTGCGCACGTTCTGCTTCTCAGCGGCCCTGGGTTCGCTGGTTCGGATCCTGGGTGCGGACATGGCACCACTTGGCACGCCATGCTGTGGCAGGCGTCCCATGTATAAAAAAATAGAGGAATATGGGCTAGAGGAAGATGGGCATGGATGTTAGCTCAGGGCCAGTCTTCCTTGGCAAAAAGAGGAGGATTGGCAGTAGTTAGCTCAGGGCTAATCTTCCTAAAAAAAAAAGTTAGCAATAAAAGTTGTGATAAAAGCAACTAAAATCGTTACACACCTGCTGTGTATCATCTAGTAATAATTGTCTAATAATAGCTATTATTATCTCATTTAACCTGAAAACAACTTTCTGAGACAAGCCTTCTCACCCTGTCTTTGCAAGCGCGAGGACACTGGGCTCCAAGATTTTGAGCAATTCACCAAGAGTCCCACAGATTGTGTTTTCTGAACCCTGGCCTGGTTCTCTCCAAAGCCTGTGCCCCTCACTCTGCTCCATCCTCTCTTTAACCTGGATTAAGAGAATAGAGCAGAGACATGTTTGAGAAGGGGTGCCACTCGGCAGCGTTTCTGCAAGGCGAGGCTCCAGTCAGCGTTCAGATCCGGGAATCCGTCTCAGGGCTTGAAGGACCCTTGAAGGGGCTTCACTCCATTGCAGCCACTTGGACATCCCTCCTTGGCAGAGCTGAAACCAACAGTGAGAGAGAACCCTCCAGCCCTCGGGGAGCCCTTGCCCTGCCTGAGGAGCCCTTTATTTTGCTGAACTGAGTTCGGTCTCCCTGTTTCTCTCACCCACGAGTACCCTCTCTGTCCCGTGGAGAGACAGGAGATCAATGATCTCTATTCCCACCAACTAGGACATTTGCTGAGTGGGGGTGCTGACCCTTGTCCCCTCTCCAGTGTGCCGTAAGCAGGGACGTGGGATATAGAGCCAGCTTATCTGGGGTTTGAATTGCAGCTCTGCCTCTTACCAGCCATGTGACCTCAGACAAGTCACTTAAGTTCTCTGAGCCTCAGATTTCTCATCTGCAAAATGGGGGTAACAAAATTTACTCTTCAGGGCTGTTGTGCGCATTACAGATAGTGTACCTAAAGCAACTGAAGTGCAGGGCAGGATCAATAGCTAACGTTAATATAAGAACTCGGCTTCAGAGTCAGAGAGACGTAAGTTTCAATCGAGCCTGTGGCATATGCTAGCCACCTATCCTTGGGCACTGTAAATTCCCTAAGACTCCATTTCGCCATCTCTCCAGTAAATTTTGTAACCTATGTGAAGGGTCGTGGTGAAGATTAAATGACACGCCACAGTGCTGGCCCAGGAGCTGGGCTCCAGACGCTTGAGCTTCCATAATAACATTATGATGTTAGTAATGATTATGATGATCACTTAGATTCCAGATATGTGTTCCTATGATCCAAAACCTTTGCCTCAGCCAGTGTAGACAATTTAACTCATTATGTGGAATCAGGCATCTGCTAGGATGACCAAATGAACCAACACTAAGCTAAAAAGGGCATTGTCGCTTGAACTCTCTGCTCAAACTCATGGCCTAAGGTTCCCACCGAGGTTCTTTAACCGACCCCACAAGGAAGCAACTGGGTCACTGAGTGCCCTTTTCACCTACCCCATGCACTCTTCTCCTAAGATAGCACCTTCAGCTCCACAGATGGTAGTTTAATAAGAAAGAAAGTCAGAATGGGTGTTAGATTAAGAAGAATGTGCCCAAGATACACATACGGTTATGCTTTGAAACTCCAGATTGAGATTGTCAACTTAGAGTTATTGCAGAACTAATTAGCTCTTACATTGCCTAACACGCTACGGTTTACAAGGTGACTCAACGTGCTTAAACTGCCGCAGTTTCCCAGCAATAGTGAAAGAAATGGGGCTGTTATGCCCATTTTAGAGAGAGGATACTGAAGTTCAGAGAGCTTGAGTGCTTTCCCCAGATCTCACAGCTTTGAAGAGGTAAGATGGAACTAGAACTCTGGGTCCCGGGTCTGAGCCAGTGCTCTTCCCAGCCCCGACTATAGCACATTCACAGCATGATCCTTCCACAGCATTATTTGTTAAGAAATCCACATGGGTAGTCTCTCACTGGGATCTGGGATCACTGGATCCAAAAGTCTGGAGTCCACCCTCTCCCTAGCTGACGTGGCAGGGCCCTGCATTTTGTCTCATACTCATAGATCCCACACTGTCCCCCATTTCTGTTCTGACCCACAACTTCATCTGCAACAACACAGCCACCTCCAGGACCGGCCCAGGGAGTAGTGCCAGGTGGCCAGATGGAGATTGTGACCCAGGTGACAACTGGGGCCGAGTGACGGGCAAGCCTATATTTGGTGTCCTACCTTCGGTGACCCTTGCCTGTGCCAGGCAACACTGATAAACAACTGGCCCATCCCTTGGTATCTTGCCAGCATAAGCTCACAGTCTGGGCCTGGCCAGGGGAGTGTTGAGACAGAGGAATTCCAAAGCAATGCAGGAGGCTGAAAAGGTTATGCACGCAAGCCAGGACCTCACTGTGCTTTCAAATCACAGCGATTGAAAGCTTAATGAGCAGATTGGTGCTATTGGGATAACCTGAAATAAAGTAGGGAACAATGCCTTGTCTTTGAATATCTTCTCAATGCTGCTTTAAATCCCATCATATTTCCGTGATCCTCACAATAGTCCTGTGAGGAACGTGCAGGAGATAATATTATCACCATTTTCCACCCAAGTTCAAGTTCACGAGGTCAAGATTAGAACCTGTGTCTTCCAATTCAGGATGCCTTACAACGCCCTCTGCCTTTCGGGCCTTTGAGCAATGGAAGAAGAAATCAGAGATGTCTTCTGTGCTTAGCCTCCATAGCTACATTTCCATCTTTAGAAACGGGACTGAGCACCTGTTTGATAGAATGCCTACGGATTTCTATTTTGGGTTTTAAGTCCTGATAAATGTATGTCAGATATTTATGATCACTTAAAAACAACCTGTGCTGGGATCCATTACCGTGTGAAGAAGGTATTATCTGTAATCATATCCTCACTTTGAAAGGTATCATATGTAGGTAATTACTGAAAACACACACACACACACACACACACACACACCCAAGAGGCACATCTCTCTCTCTTTAATTTGCAGGACATGCCAACGAAGTCTCTGCTGAAAATTTGAAATGAGAAATTTGACCTAAGGTTGTTTTCATTGAAAATTTCTACATCATTAATTTCGCAAGTGTCACTGTCACATTCCCGGATTCGAAGAACATTTCTCCTCGATATTATATTGTGTTGAAGCTCAGGATCAAAATGAACATGAGTAAAATGATATGATTCTACTCTTTTCTAGAGAATGTATCATCTTTAATCAGAGCAGGATGGAGCTTAGAAAAAGAAGTTGGCTAGGGAAATACACCGAATATTTACTTTTTATGCCTCATCTTATTTGTAAATGAGGGGGTTGGTCAATCTTAAAAATCTGTTCCAACTCTAAAAGTACTAAAAATGGAAGTGGAGTAAAATATGAACAATTTGGGCTCTTTTGGGGATAGTAAGGCCTCCATGCCTTTCTGTGTGCTCTTTTCTCTTCCTGAAATGCCCTTCCCCCTTTTCTCTAGCTGGTGAACTCTTACTAACCCTTCAAAACCCCATGTTGATGTGACGTCTGCTGTGAAGCTCCCACAGCTCACTGCTTTCGTCCGCAATCTAAGCTCGGGCGGCCATTTCCTCCTTGGAGTTTGCACGCACGGCACGCATGGCACGTCTCACACGGCTCTCCTCTGGGGCAGAGGGTTCTGCTTCCTGCCTATCTTACTCATTAGAATGTGGGCTTCTCAAACCACAGGGATACCAAGTACCCATTTTTATAGGTGTTCCTTCCTTTTATCCCTCACCAAGTGCCTAGTGTAGGGCTTGACACAAGATAGGTAGGTGGTAAATGCATGGTGAGTGAATGAATGAATGAATAAATGAATGCAGGCTTGATCGCAAGCTTCTTAATTCAAAATCCCTTACTCTTTCCTCTGTATTAAACAACCTGAACTACAGAAATAGAGGCACTAAATGTTTCTTTTTTCAAAAAAAGTTAAAAGTTTATTTTCTAAAATTTTACTGCACAAAGAGAAGAGCCTGCTTCTATGAGAGGAAGGATAGGATGTTCCTGGTTAAACTCACACTGTTTCTGGTGGTGGGAAAGTTCTCTGCAGGGACGTTTAGATAGAGACGTTCCCTTTGGTCCTAGTATCAGATTCTGCCGTCTGTTTGCTATTTACCTTCTGTTTCTTAGCAAAAGCTGTCTTTGTTTTGAGGCTGGGAGACACAATCCGGACCAGTTGACCCAGGAGGGCTTAGTGTTAATCGCTAACTATTATAAGAAGGTGACTGTCTTCCCAGAAGGGAAAGAGAAGGTCAGGAGCAGCCACTTGGAATGGCCCGATAGTGCTTGGCGTCAATGACAAGATGACACACCAGGCTTCTTAGAAACCGAAGGATCCCAGTGAAAATTCAGACCCCCCTGGGGCTGGCAGGATTTCAGAAATTTCACTGATTATTGATGGCTTATGTCAGTTCTGCTCTGGGGAAGCCGAAAACTGGAGTCATGCTTACATACGCAGACACAGAAAGAAAGAGAAAATTATTTTTTCTGATGCCCCTCCCTGTCTAGTATCTCTTAAACATAATTCTCTAACAAGGAGACAATGATGGCCCCAGGATCAGCAGCTCCTTGCAGCAGAATGTGCTGGAAGATGTAGGAGGACACCTTGCATTGTCACCTGGCTCCTGTGGTCACACCTGACACTGTGAGCTCTGTCACGTACCTTCCTGCACACTGTGTCCTTTGGTTCTCTGAACAAACTGTGAAGCAGCAAGGAAGAGAGTGACTCTCTTCATAGGACAGGTGGGGAACAGACGTGAAGAGAAGCCATGCAGCTCCCCTCGATGCACACAGCAGGTTGTGGGGAGCCCTGAATGCAGAAGGCAGGTTTCTAGACCACCGATCTAGTGTGGTGCCAATATGGCTCACTGCCTGGGCCTAGTCACATATCACGTATTTTTCGCAGCACGGTTAGCTAAGGCTTTGCTACCTGAAGGGTGGTCCATGGCGAGCAGCATCAGCACGGCCTGGAGCCTGTCTTCTCCCCACATCTACCAAAGCAGAATCTGTATGTGTAGTTAGACCCGAGGTGATGCAAGAAGCACTGAGCTAGATAAGAAGATAGTACCATTTTCAGAGGCTAGTCCCACTTCTGGTGGAATAATTTTTAAAAGCTTAGATGGAAAAAATAATAATACTTAATATTTGTGTATAATTTTGTATACACAAAATTAGCTCATCCATTCCTTTCAAGAACCCTGTGAGGTACACAGGAGCAGATGCTGTTGAAATTTAACAGAAGAGGAAATTGAGTCTCAAAGTAGCAAAGTGACTTCCTCTGAGCCATCTGAGTATCTGAGCTGATTCAGTGACAGGCACACAGTAATTATTTGCTGAATGAATGAATGACCCACCAAAAACACCGGGGCTGGATCATGGTCTTCAGACCACTGTTCTTGGGGATTGGTTACTCCTGAGGCCCCCTAAATTTAGGGTATTTGCTTTATATCCTGTTAGACTTGACCTCGGTCAGAGAGTCTTCAAGATGCCAAACTGGGGCGGAGGAGCGAAATGCGGAGCGTGTGAGAAGACCGTCTACCACGCAGAAGAAATCCAGTGCAATGGAAGGAGCTTCCACAAGACGTGTTTCCACTGCAGTAAGTTGGGTGAACAGCATGAGGGCCCCTCGGCCTCCAGAGGGCGTTTCCAAGTTCACATTTAGCCACAGAGACTGGGCATCAGTGGTTCTCAAAGTATGATCCAGGGACCAGTAGCCTCAGCTACGTGTTAGAAATATTGCTTTGGGTCCCCACCTAAGGGAGAGATGGCGCCCCCTGAACACTCTGTCTCCAACCACTTGCCCAGCTCATAGGCCATGTCCCTGCAGGTTGAAGTCAGAACCATCTGGCCTGCCACGGCTCTCAGTGGTGAAAACCTTGACCCAGTGGCGACATTTACAAAGTGTGACTTGGCAGAGAAAGGAAGCCATCACTTATCTGCAGCCAGGATGGATCTGGCTCTTTGTGTTGTTCCCATTGGCCAGCTGACAGTGAACCAGCTGCAACTGGTCTTTCCCAAGAAAGAACTTGTGTCAGGCAGGGGGCAACACGTGCCAATTTTGTAATAGTTGGAAAGGGAAGGGTTTAGGGGCCTGGGCACCAGTGACTTAAGAAAGAGAATCTTTACCATCACCCACCAGACACAGATTCACAAATGTTAACAATGGGGGAACTTCAAGACCCCGTGGTCCGCCTGGGAGTCAGGCTTTGTCTGAGTCACGGGACTTTGCACAGCCGTTCCCCACCTCTACGCCCGGGTCGCAAGCATCTGCAGCAGAGCTGGGAGGAGAACCCGTACCTTCAGGCTCCCAGGCCAGTCTCCTGGGCACAACTGCCTTCTGGAGTTTCCTAGCAGCGAGTTCTGTTTTGGGGGAACAGTCCTTTTCTGCCACCTACATTCTTTGCTTCCCTCCAGGGGGTCTGGCTTCAGGGCTTGCTTTACTGGGCATTTGGCAGATCCCTCCCCACGTAGGCCCTCACCCCACGCCCGTGCCGCAGCCCAGTGGCTGCAAGGCGTCACATGGCCCCGAACTGTTTCAAACAGAACCTCAAGGGTTGGGCTCCACCTGTCAGGGAAGGAAGACACTCCATCCTCAAGCTGCCAGAAATAGTAATGTTTTACCTGCTACAGGAGTTTCCGTGATCTCTTACCTCCCACAGCAAACGTACTTCGCTTCAAACGGGGAAATACTGCTCTGAGTGGTTGGGTTGGCTGATTTACTTTGGGTTTTAATGATGGATAGTTATTTTCAAGTCATCGTACATATCCATCAGATTCATTGTTATTACAATTATCCAGAAGTGACTGCCCAAGACAGTTGTTTCCATAACCTTCTGGCTTTTGTCCAAAAACAGCCAGTGTTCTTTCAAAAAGAGTGAGGGTGACAAATATTGGAAAGAACAGTGGAATTGGAGTAAAATTGACTGGGGTTTGAGTCTGGGCTCTGCCATGTACCAACTGCATGACCTTGGGCAAGTCATTTTGCCATCAAGCCTCAATTTCCCCATCTATAAAATGGAGATGGTTATACCTACCACACAGGTTGTTACAAGAAGAAAACTGGGGTTCTTGATCTGGAATCAGCCTTCTGGGCCTCTATTCTCCTTTGATCAACTCTGAGATCTGTGCGGGAACGGGAAATGGAAGGGCAGCTTTCAATGGCAAGCGGGGTCTTGTCTTTCCCAGGTAGCGGGAAGATGCCCTGTTCGGTGGAGCCTTGCTGGAAGGGATTCAAGCATTTGGTGGTTCACCCTTTGACATTTTCCTTAGAACTCACAAGTGGGAGGGGAATCTGAACAGGGTGAGTTCCTATAGTGGTGGACAGAAGGATCTTGGAGAAGAGCTCACTTTTCTGGGTTATTATCACAAGACTTGCCTGTCCACAGGCCACCCTGTGCTGGAACAGGGTTCAGAGAGGCACTACCTTAGCTCGTCTCCTGCCCAGTGTTCTCCCGACTTCTAGACAAATCTTCATCCTCGCTATCAACACTATCCAAAAGAAATGTAACACAAGCCATGAATGTAATCAATTTTCTAGTAACCGTAGTTTTAAAAAGGTACAAGGAAATAGGTTGTTAATTTTCAAAGATTTTATTTAACCCAATATATCCAAAAATTATAATTTCAAAGTGTAATCAATATACGAATTATTAATGGGATGTTTTACATCCTCTTTTGTTTGTACTAAGTGTTTGAAGTCTGGTGCGCGTTTCGCACTCGGAGCACATCATGTGGAGGGCGAGCGGCTGTGGTATCAGACAGCACAGCCTTCTGTGCCCGAGTGTGAAAGTTGGTCAGAAGCCAGGGAGCGGCTGTAGAATTGGCCAGGACAAGACAGGACATAGGCAGTCCTGGAGCGATGGGAATGAGCACTGGAGTAGGAGTCAAGGATCTGAGGCCAGTCCTGGCTCTGCAACTTACTGTTGTACAGTCGTGGCCAAGTCACTGATCTTCATTCACGCACGCATGTGTGCATTTGTTCACTCATTCATTCATTCAACAGGTGTTGTCAGAAAACTAACTCTTGGCCAGGCCCTGTGCTCTGTTCTGGGGATATTAAGATAAAACAGTTTTGCCCTCAAGGAACTCAGAATCTAGAATACCAATGAAGATTCGAGAAGTTGTTCTGGAGATTGGCAGCTGACAGCAACGAGAAGGGCAGAAATGGATATATACCTTATATGCTCAAATATAAGCATTTTTCCCCCAAAATATTTCTTCATAAAAAGGGTTTGCCCTGCATTCAAAGCCTTATAAAGTCTCTCCTGCTACAGAACCTTCTCTCAATTACTTTATTTAACATTTTTTTAAGAGAGAATGTTTAACACACACAACGTTGACACAATACAGAGTTTAATAAACTCCTGTGAGCCCATCTCCCCAGCTACACAACCGCCAATCCCCAACCCCCGGCCAGGTCGACCTCATCTACAACCTTATCTTCTTCTCCCACTCCCATACTCAATCAGTTTTTAACAAGATACCATTTGAAGAAGGCGTATTAGCCTGAAACACCTCATTCAGGGCTGGATTGCTTATGGAGGTCACTTGATTGAACCGGTCAAAAAAAAAAGGAGGCAAATAAATGGAATGCATATGTATTATTATGTTATTGTCCCAGGGGATGACCTCACTATTATAAGTGCTGAGTATCACCATAAACAACCTTTAAGGATCATTGTTACAAAGCAGTACAACAAGTTATTAAGTGGTGGAAATCCTATGTATTTTTTGAAGCTGCCCTAAGGTTATGCTGATAGGAGCTTCTTGTTGAGATATGGTCTCCAGGTGACAGCCTCCTGCTCATCTTCCTGCTCAGGTACAAACGGCTTCCTCTCTAGCGAGAAAGACAGAGCAGAGATGAGCTGCTCCGGAGAGCTGGGTCGGCTGCCTGAGAAAGACCCTCAGTGATGAGGGAGAGGCTGATGCCGAGGAGGAAGAGAAGGAATTTGAAAACAATTGTTTCCTGAATTTGCGTGAGATTAGAAAAAGTAACATCTCCAAATCAATATATTATTGACATATTATTAAATTAAATAGTATAAGTAGGTATTTAACACTTTCATTTATGTCTTTAAAAGTTTATTTTTTTTAAATTGGCAAAAAAAAAATCTTTCTAGGAATCTTCTCTTTGGAACAATAGGGGCTTGCCTTCATGCGGGACTTTCCATCATGCGAGACAGTTTACATGAGATAATACACAGTCACCAGGGGGCTCGAGCAGGTACAAGATAAGGATTGATGAGGCAGGTCTGCCTCCCTCAGCCTGTCCCCTGCTTCCAGAACTGGATCAAAATTAGCCTGAGTGGTAATGGCCTCCTTGAAATCACAGGGCTCTTCAAATGCCATACCAAGGAGAGAAACTGCTCAATCTTGATTCTAATACGATTAAGAAAGTAAGTTCCTCTCACTCACGTACACTTCCCCCATGCCATTTGGGGTGAGATGCTCAGGAATTCAGGATGTTCCCATTCAGGGATGATATTCCTAGCTGGTGTGAGACCACACACTCGTTCCAATGCTGGCCGTCTACCTCTTTCTAGCTGGGTACCACCGAGCACATTACTTCCCTTCTCTGTGCCCCAACATCCTCACCTGTGAAATCAGAACTGCTCTGCTCAGGAATCAAAGCTGTGTTCTTGGCCGGAGGGGCCCTCGTGCTGGGTCTCCTGGCCCCTGCATGGCATTAGGGGTACAGGGATTGGGGGAGGAACCTCAACCCCACCCTCCTGACCCTCCTTCCTCGGCAGTGGCCTGCAGAAAGGCTCTCGACAGCACCACGGTGGCAGCCCACGAGTCGGAGATCTACTGTAAGGTCTGCTATGGGCGCAGGTACGGCCCCAAGGGGATCGGCTATGGACAAGGCGCCGGCTGCCTCAGCACCGACACAGGCGAACACCTGGGCCTCCAGTTCCAACAGTGAGTTACTGCCCGCTTCTGCCAGCCCGTTGTCAGGACAGTTCATTCTGTTCCCATAGCAACGTGTTCTGGAAGTGGGAGAATGAACTCTATTGTTGACTTGCCAACAATAGGAATACCCAGTCTGACCAAGTTTTAACAATGTGTCATCTCTCTGAAGACTCTCTTTAAATTATCTGCCTTTCTAAAGGGCAATTACTTTTACACCATGGCTCTTGGTTTGCATGTCAAGAGAAGACCCAGAAAGTACAGATGTTCCATTGTTTGACCTTTGCAAAACTACATGGGTCTCTTTTCTTCCCCTTTGAGCGCTTCTGTGTAAATCACCTAAATATGGCAGGGAAGAATGGCCATTCTCTGTGCGCTTGTCACTAAAAGATTTCTTCCCTTGGGTTGTAAGATGACTAATGTCTGCATGGCAGGGGGAGTGTGTCTGCGGGGATGCGCTGGACCTCAGGGGTAAGCAATCAGTTGTGACTGCTCTCTGGGTCTCCCGGGCTGCTTGTTGCTAGTACAGTGCTGAGGGTCGCCCCAACAACATCCCAGAAAAGCTGGGGTACCATGCTGTGCCATCTCTGTCTACCAGTCTGGTCTACCAGTCTTGACGATCATACTGACCTCCAGCCCTGAACTGAGTATAGGCCGCCAGCCACTAGCCTACAGCTGCTGTCTGGCCAGCTGGTACCTGGGCCCAGCTCTGCGGTGGGACTGGGCAGGGAGGCACAGCCCAATTGAGGCAGGGTCCCACGGATGGCCTCCCCAGAGAGCATTAGACCATCCAAAGAGTCATCTGGTCCCTTCCAGAGCGAGTAACCATGGCAGAGCCTGGAAAAGCACAGGGATGTGTGATGGCTTGTTTTACTTTTTCTCATTACTCAATCCCAACGAGATACTCTGCTTCAAGAAGAAAGATGCTGCCAGCTGCGTTCTCTGCTTCTCCTCACTCAAAGCTCACGCCTCTCCGCGAGGGCTGTCTGGTGATGCCGCACCCAGAGGAAGAAGCCTGGAGACCCGGGTTCCATCCCAGCTCCACCAGTTATGAGCTGCCCGACCCTGGGCAGCTACCCCCTGATCCTTGCTCTCCTCCAGCTAGCTCTGCCTACTTTAGGGGTTATGGTGAGACTAGAGCGATAAGTGTACAAGGAAACACCAAAAGATATGGGAACACTGGTTATTACTGTGCCTCTGACTTGGTCATTGCTCACATGGGGACAGGTGACCTTTGGATGCAGGATGACAACATGAATTTTGACAAGAAATACATCAGCTCATTGGACAATGGTTTACTTAGTATCAACTGTCAAGACCCCATCTTGCCCTATAATATTTTCACCACTCACTTCGGAAAGTAGACCAGTGGGCTTCAAGATGGTAGAAACCTAAACAGTCACAGCAGCAATAACAAGCTGGCAACAACAATGACAGTAGTATAGGCTAATGTACCTGGAACACCTGCTCGGTGCCTTACAACAGAAAGGACAGACTTACAGCAATTACCGCTAACGTTTATCTGTCCTTGCCACACGCCAGGCAGGCACTGTTCTAAGGGCTTCAGTCACCTCACCTCACTGAACCCTCTCAACAGTGAGGAAGGCACCATGATTGTCCCCACTTTCCAGATGAGGAGTCTGAAGCACAGAGAAGTTCAGTAACTCACTAAGGGCACACAGCTAGTACTGTTTGCCAACAGAGGTCTCTAGGTTTCATTCATTTCTCTTTCTCCACCAGGTCCCCCAAACCGGCACGCTCAGCCACCACCAGCAACCCTTCCAAGTTCACTGCGAAGTTTGGAGAGTCGGAGAAGTGCCCTCGATGCGGAAAGTCAGTCTATGCTGCTGAGAAGGTGATGGGCGGTGGCAAGGTAAGGACTTCCACACAAGCCAACGGGATTTGCTCGTCTCCCCGATCAGTTAGGAAGAAGAGGAGAAGAAAGGAGGAACTGTGGATGGGTGGGGCCAGACCCTTCATCCTCCTTAGCTCCCAGGAAACACTTTAGGTCCCTCACCCACATTCCTGGGCTGTGACTCCCCCTGCAGTTCCCTTGGAAAGGAACTGGTGCGATTCGATGCCGCAGGCATTAGCCCACTGGATGGAAGGCACCAGCTAAGAGGCTCTGAGACACAAAGGTACACAGGCCCCCTGCCCTCAGCGTCCACGATCCTTCCAGAAAGGTGTCAGCCTGGGACCTGTCACCCCTGCATAACTCAGTCTGCTGCTGGCACCACCCGTGAGGGACAGAGCACACATCTCCCAGCAGCGGGAAGCATCCTCGCTCCCGAATGTGCTGGCAACCAGAGAGTCATCAGATGTCTGAGAGAGACGCACACTCGCTCTGCAAGCTCCAGTTTCAGGCCTGAAGCCAGGGCAGTCCCCACGGGACGTGGGCCTGACGAAGGAAGACGATCCTGTTTATCCTAAATGGGGGAGGAGGCCACCCAGAGTGTCTGACTTCAAATATGAGGGCGGCGTCCACCCCAAACGAGACCGTTCAAAGTCTGGTCATGAGAAGCCCTGGGCTGTGCCTGGCAGGTGGTCCAGGCCGTGCAGCTGTCTTCCGCCGGAAATGCACAGGGTGGGAAGGAGGTGGAGTTACCTGCATGATGGCCCCTTTCTTCACTTTTTTCTTCTTTCACTTTATATTCAACGTAAACCTTACCCACTGGCTCCACTGCAAGCCCTCCTCTCTCCAGTTTGTTCCTCCATCTTCTAGAAAGGGGAAGTCCTTTTCTATTTAGTCTGTTTTGAGGGAATACATATGGAAGTCACCTTGATCAATTTGTTTTTAGGGGTTCTGAGAATTGACGGTCAAGTCCATAGCGTCTCATTTTCTCTAAGCCTAATCCAGGCCCGATGAGATACGTGACTGGTTAGGACACTGGCACTCCCTTAGGTGCTGCTGGTCGGGGGACTTCACGTGGAAATAGAAAATGCTGCCCACTCCGTTAAACATGTAACTCTCCTGCCCTCCCCTGCCCCTCAGCCTTGGCACAAGACCTGCTTTCGCTGCGCCATCTGTGGGAAGAGTCTAGAGTCCACCAACGTCACTGACAAAGATGGGGAACTTTATTGCAAAGGTGAGCGGTTCTGGAGACTCTCCTGAGAGGTCTTCCCGCGGAGGGTCCCTGGGAGGGGACGTCGTGTCCATGCCGAGAGCCTTGTCTACCGGGACGCCTGACTGCTGAGCCCGAGCGGGTTTTGGGCTCTCAGGATGGAGCACAAAACCCTACAAGGGAAAGAAACCCCCTGCCTGACCCCACTCGGGGCCTGTCCATCTGTGGGCACCCGATGCTTGCGGATGCCCAGTGGTTCAGGGCAGCTGGGTGCCGGGGGGCAGAGAGGACGAGGGGGAAGCAGTGTCCTGACTCTGGCCATGGAAAAGGCCTCAGGCCTGGACAAACAGCATCACATCCTCTTCCGAAACCCAAACACCTTCTGTCCACCTGAGTGGCAGAGAGGGTGACTGGGGAGGAGGGATTGGCTTGGCCTCTCTTGCGTTTATCAAGACTGTCTATCTTCCTCCCTCCCTCCCTCCCTCCTTCCCTCCTTCCTTCCTCTCTCCCTCCTTCCTTCCTGACCTTTCTGTTTCTGGTGTCGCACATCGCTTAGTGGTCACAGGGACAGAACTGACAGGTGGGTATTCCTTCTGGTCCTCACAGCTCTGCCCGCAGCTGCCTCCATGATCCCTTTGTCTCGTGGAGACACAGCAGAGCTTAGCTCCTTCCTGACGCCTCACAAGGAAGGGACGCATTAGGGCCATGGCAGTGGGCCTGTTCTCTCCTAGGCCTGGTCTGTTCTCAGTGGGGTGTCTCAACATCTGCAGGTGTGTGTGTGGGAGTGGGGGGAGGGGAATGGTGGGAGAGGAGCAAGAGAGAGGACATCGCTGAGCAACACTGAAGGTTGCCAAGCTTCCGCCCTATGAGACAGGATGGGAACTGACGCACGATCTGACAGGGGTTGCCTTCTCCTGGCAGGAGAGGGTCCTCAGCATTCATAGGCCATAAAGCTCTAAAGTGTTGCTGCAGCCAGCAGGGAGATCAACACCCAGATAAATAATAGCATTTCCAAGTGAGGAAAGCTCTAGAAGAGGACCATACACAACGCAGCAGCGTACAGAGAGGCAAGGGATCAGCTTGGGGTGTGAGGGACGGCTCCTCAGGAGACAAGCCTCCTGGGCGTCTTGAAGGAGACTGTGAGTTTGGGAGGGGCCATTCCAGGAACAGGCAGCAGTGAGCGTGAAGGCACCGACGCGGGCATCCTGGTTCATTCCGGGAGTGGGGTGGGGAGGCCCAGGAAGGAGGGGACGAGGCTGGCAGGCAGTCGGGGGCCGGATCACATCGACTCAAATGAGAAAACACCTCTGAACACAGTGCAGTGCAAGGAAGCATCGACGCTTTTTACTAGCAGATCGAAAACAAACCTAGTTCCATTTACTTAAAAGTTAACTTATGAATGCGTTTATCCAAGGCTGCCTCTCACAGGGGAGGCCCGTGCCCAGACAGAAGGGACTGAAACAACGGTGCTAACCAGCTTGCCTCTCCCCCATCCCCTTCTCATTCACAGTTTGCTACGCCAAAAACTTTGGCCCTACAGGGATTGGGTTTGGAGGCCTTACACACCAGGTGGAGAAGAAAGAGTGAATGGGCACCACCTCTCAGCTCTCATCAGCCTAAGCCTTCGCCCTACCCCTGCCCGACGGAGACGCTCCCCCAGACGTCCTCTCCCCAGTAGGCGGACAGCATCTCTCTTCAGAAGTGACCACTCTTGACCCAAAGTTAGAAGAGACCTTGGAAGAAAATTATTAGACGTCGAATCTGTAACAAACGCTTGATTATTTACAATCCCTGGGGTAGGAGTGGCCCTCAATAAATGTTTTAGCCACACCTTGTCCGTCTCTGGGTCTTTTATTTCAAATAGAGGGAAGTTTTCCAAAAATTGAGAGGTAGTCTGAACCACCAGCTGCAAAGGCTGTGAGAATTTTGGTGTCCACCACGGGAGGAGGTGGAGGGAAGGCAGAGCCAAGGAGAGCAGCCTTCAGAATCCGTCAGCCGTGCTTCTCGGGTTATTACTGCTAACGGAGAACGCAGAGGCCCGGAGCAGGCAGACAAGACGATCGCAAATCCTAAAAGGAAAATCAGAACCAATAAAACTGCTGAGGAGTCGATCTTTTTGTCCCATCACAAGCTTTGCAATATTACCCATTTCGTGAAAACTCAGAAATGGCAACAAAATGTGGAGTTTGCTTCTGCGTTATAAACGACGTGAGGATGATTTTCTTTTATTCTGGGACAATTCCCTAGGGTTTAGCAATTTTCTTAAAACTTCTCCTCCATCAAATTGCCGGGCTCACGAGTGAAATGCAGCCAATTAAAAATGTCTGCTCTGCCTCCTCAGCAGTTCCCGGCGGCTGGAGCTCGTGCTTTCTTGGGCTTCTGCTTGTAACAACCACAGCATTTCTCCCACTGCCATGCAATTCTGAGTTGTTCGGGGTATGGAAGCAAATGAAAATCTATTCATAAAAGTTATGAAACTAGACAAAACCATGGGTTTTTCTATGCTCCACGCACCAAGAAGGCTTTCTTGAAAATGAGCATTACTCAGGGCTGCTCATGTGCCATCTCAGACAAGGCCCTGTACTGACTTTATTTCTTATTTATCTACTTATTAATTTTTTGATGTTCAAAATGCAATTATATTTGATCATTTCTTCTATTTTATTGGCATTAATAGAATGGTTCAGAAAATAAAATCGCTGGCAGAGGTTGTGTCCCACTCCACTTTCAAGGAGAGAATGTAGGAGTAGGTTTGCTTGTCCAGAGACAATCGCTGGGGTAGTTCAGCCACTCAGTTCCAGCAAAACAGCCTGAGGATGGAAATATTGTACATTGTACATTCTCTGGGGAAGGAAGCAGAGGACAATGTGTTTTTAGTTTGTAAACTTCTTACTAGAACAATATGAGATCCCGTCATCAGCCATTGAACAAGGAATACCACCAGTCATCAAGGGAATTAACTAAAGCAAGACCCCTTTAACTGCACTGACTTTGAAGGCAATGTACCACCTCGGCCCTTTGCTAGGAAGTCCCTCCACTAGGACTTCCAGGCTTGACGAAGGGTAGGACACACATGTGACATGACTACAGACAGGGCAACTTCTCCCCTACTGCATCTCACAGTGACTCGCCCCACCATCCATCCACCCAGGAGACTGAAGCTAAAAACCTCCGTGTCCTTGGCCTTGCCCTCTCCCTCACCCCTCCGTGCCTCACTCCCCAAACCTCCCTGCTTCTGACTCCAAAATGCCCTGGAAGGCATCCCCTCCGTTCCCGTGCTAGCGTATCTGTATCAGTCAGTGAGGGCTTCCATAACAGAGCACCGAGGAGCAGGTGGCTTAATCCACAGAAATGATGTTTTCGCAATGCCGGAGGCTAGACGTCTGAGATTAAGGCGTTGGAAGGGTTGGTTTCTCCCGAGACCTCCCTCCGCAGCTTGTAGGTGGGCGCCTTCTCCCTGTGTCTTCACGTGGCCTTCCCCACATGTGTGTCTGTGTCCTAATGTCCTCTTCTTACAAGGTCATCAGTCATGTTGGATTAGGGCCCACCAGAACGACCTCATTTTAATTTAGTTATCTCTGTGAAGACCCTACCTCCAGTCGCAGTCTCATTCTGAGCCCTGGGGGTCAGGACTTCAACATATGGATTTTGGGAGAGAGAGGACACGATTCAGCCCATAACACTATGTCATCTAAGGACTTTCACGAATTGGCCTTGGACTTACCCCTTCAACTTGGCTTTGGACAATCTCTTCCACATGAGCTCCAGCTATACGTGGACTGGAAGCTTTCCAAATACGCCGAGAGCCCTCCCCCATCATGCCTTTGCTAGTGCTATTCTTTTCACTTGGAATGTCTGGATGACGGAACCGCCTCCATCTTCAACCCCTAACCCGACTCCTTAGCCTGGTAAGCCCCTACTAATCAAGTCACTGGTCAAATGCCATCTCCTCTGCAAAACCTTTCCTGAACTACCTGGGCAGAATCCATCCACCTCTGTGTTCCCACAGCCCGTGTAGGACTAACCTGGCACTTGCCTCATCGCAATGAAATTGTGAATTCCAATCTGCCCTCTTGTTAGAATGGGACACATTTGTAGACACAGCGCTCTGCAAACAGCAGGCAGTTAGTGAACATTCATCGAGTGAGTGAAGGGGAGAGAGTGAAGGCCGGACTGCATGCAAGCTCTGCTAGAATTCAAAAGAAGAGATTATTATGCACTGGAGTGAAGGGGCTTGGAAATGAAAAAACAAAACAAAACAAAGACAGACCATTACTGTGGTTTCTCCTCTGCTTCCCGGGCACACTGTTCCTACACGTCCCACGCTTCCCTACCAGTGACTGAGACACGTGACCGAGTTGGCTAATGGAGGCCTGGCCTCCAAGACCTCCAGCAGAGTCTCTATTCTCTCTATCCACATCTGTGGATGTAGAAGGTCCAGTGGACACTGAGGCCCTAGGAAATGATGGAGCCACGGGTTGGGAAGGAGCTTGGGTCCCTGCATAGAAGAACACCTGCTGACATCTAAATGGACGGTGACAAGAGGGAGAAATAAGTCTTATGCTGTGCTGAAGCCGCTGGGATTTGGGGGGACGTTTATTATTGCATTAACTCCCTTGACTAATGCACACCTGAGATACTGGATGTGCCACATCCAAGATATTCAATGTTCAGTGTCCATCCAGCCCGCTGAAGTCACAGGGAGTACCGTCAGGATTTTGCCCAATAGCTGTGAGTGATTCAAATGTTCTGTCTCTAATGTGATTATAGAGGCATTTGGGGAAAGGAATGAAGTCCTGGAGAGATGGCGTAACAGCCACATCCTTATGGCCCCACGAACACAATTGTGTTCGCCTTGGCTTTAAGAGGAAACAAGACCAGAACACCTTGTATTCACCCCAAGCCACTGCTTCCTCCCCCTCCTTTCCAAGCCAGACTGTAAGACTGGATTCCAGAGTCCTTAGTGTCTCAGCATCTGGCTTAAGCGTCCCCTCCTGCCCACACCCACCCCAGTTCCTAATCAAACTCTCTGGTCTTTCCTCAGTTGTTCTGCTCAGCCTCTGCTTAGCTCCTGACCACGGCCTCCCTCCCCTTTGAAATGATCTCTTCTCCTTGAATTCTACGACACTGTCCTGTCCTGAGCATCCTCTCCTCCAGCCTCCTCCGGGGCCCCTCCTCCTTCTCCAGCCCCCTAAATCCACATTCCATAAGGTCGTGTTCCCGCCCTTCTCTCTCTCACGCTTTTTTTTCGTTTTGCGTCGGTTGTCATTTGGTCTCTTTTTAGAAGCAATCTTCCCATTTGAGGAAGGCAACTGCCTTTTTCATTTTCCAACTCTCCCCTGTGACAATCTCATCCATCTGTGCAGATGACTTTCATCCACACCCCGGCCTCTTTCCACCTGTCTTCTAGACTTTTCCACTGGATCACCTGCAAGTTCCTCAAACAGTAGGGCCCAACCAGCAAACTCATCGCCTAGTCTCTCCACGCCGTTTTCCTTACTTCTCATAAGAGCGTCACCACCCACTCAACCACTGGAAAAAAACCTGAAGTATTTGAAGCTCAGCACTTCAAAGTCATCCCTGACTCCCCCTGACCCCGCTCCATCCGGTCAGTGATCCGGGCCTGCTGGATCTCTCCGTGCCTTCATTACTTCTTGCCTAGACCACTACTAAAAGCTTATCTCTAACATTCTGTATCTGTCGGGGTCCAGTCAAAAAACAGAAACCACACGAATTTTTTAAATAGAAAATAATAGAGGGAATTGACTAAACCAGTGCTAATATTTTTGAAAAAGTAAAGAGGAACACACTGACTTATAGAAATAACTGCAGGAGGCAGCCATCACCCCTGGGGCCGCGGAAGCCGAGAGAAGACACCCGGCATCCTAACGTAGACGCCTCGAGGAGGGGTCGCCCAGGAGCCAGACCTCGGAGGAGAGAGTCCTGCCTGGTTACTCCTGGTGCTTCTAAGGGGACACGATGGAGCTGCTTTGGGAGAAATCTAGACATTGACTGCACTGTCAGTGTCAGGGTGGCAGGCCATCGTTTAAACACCAGTGAGAGCAACAGCCGGCCAGGAGGATGGAGCGGGTCCCTCCTCCCCTCCTCCTTCCAGTCTACTGGCAGGACTCATGGCAAGTCGGCTGTCAAGGAGACGGTAGTTTCAGAATCCCAGCCCCAGAACACACACACAGGAGGGAAGGGCAGATCTGGCACATTTCTCTACCACTGGCTGTTAATTCAAAATATATGCAGAATTGAATCTTTCTAGCCACCATCCCTGCTATAGTCCCCAGTGAGCCATCACCTCCGGCTGGATTACTACAGCCTTGCTTGGTCCACCCTCTCCCGGCGGTAAGCAGCCCGAGTGATCCTCAACCCTCCGATGGCTCCTCCTGTCACCAGGGGCAGGGCCTACAGGATCTGCCGCCCCTGCGTCCCCGTGCTCCCACACGCCTGCCTGGCGTGCTTCTGCCTCAGGCCTTGCCCTGCCTGCTTTCTGCCAGTGCACTCTAACCCCAGAAACACACAGGGTCAAGTGCCTCTCCTTCAAGCCTGCTTTCCCGTGTCAGCTCCTCCATGAGGCCTACCCTCAGCGACGTTGTGAAGGTTGTAACATCCTGCTCTTGCACAAGACTTTTTTTTTGAGGAAGATTAGCCCTGAGCTAACATTTCTGCCAATCCTCCTGTTTTTGCTGAGGGAGACTGGCCCTGAGCTAACATCCATGCCCATCTTCCTCTATTTTACATGTGGGACGCCTGCCACAGCATGGCTTGACAAGCGGTGCCACGTCCACACCTGGGATCCGAACAGGTGAACCCTGGGCTGCCGAAGCGGAACGTACGCACTTAACCACTGTGCCACTGGGCCAGCCCTACGTGCCTCCTCTTTACCCTACTCTACATTTTTTCCCGTGGCCTTACCACCTTCTGATGTACTATATAGCTTATTTATCTGTGTGAGTGGGGTAGGGTGGAAATCAGAAGTTCAGTTTCAATTTTGGACGCGGTAAGTTTAAAATTCCATTAGATGTTTGAGTGGGTGTCAAGTACCCCGTCTGGAGTTTGAGGAAGAAGTCTGAGCTGGGGTTAAAATCTGGGGCGTTCGGTGAATGATGGTCTAAGCCACCGTGGGACTGGATGCGATTACCAAGGCAGAGGAAGTGAGTTTAGATAAACAGCGAGGAGACCCAAGGACTAGGGGTATCCTGACATTAAATGACAGGGGAGGAAAAGCAGCAAGGAGACTGGAGGTGACCAGGAGCGGCCAGGGAGACGAGGAGGGAGCTCCGGAGTGCTGCCCCCTGGAGGCCACGGGAGTGACCAATTCCCCATGCTGCTGGCCTGGTGGCTTCTGTAAGAGAGGCTGGGAGCTGACCCCTGAACTCAGCAACAAGGACGATGGTGCGCTCACCAAGAGCAGGGTCAGGGAGCATGGGGTGAGCGCTGACACAGTGGGTGAACGGGGGAGGGGAGCGGGCTTGGAAGTACTGACCGCACCCACCTTTCCCAGGACTTCTCCTGTCAGGAGAGCACGGAAGGAGCTCCTGAGCTGACATTCAGGGCGCCTGGTGAGCCAGCCCTGATCCACCTCTCCAACTTACTGACCAAGCTCCCCACTTCGAACATCCCAGACACCCAGGTGGTCACCCTTCTGACCATACTTTACTGTCCCACTGTCTTTTCTTGCCAAGTTCTCTCCTGGAGAATGCCTTTCACTTCCAACTCCGTATTTCCAAGCTGAGCACCCCTGAAGGACCCTTTCTAAAGCCCTATCGTCCACAGACACCTGCCTGATCACATTCACTGAGGCTCTCCCCACCCACCAAACTCTAACAGTATTTTATTTGTACCCCTCTTATGGCTTTTAATATTTTGCACATTACACTGTAGTTTCTTTTATCTTAGCTTCCCCTCTAGATTACAAGCTCCATGATCAATATGCCCAATTAAATGTTTTATGACCTGCAAGACCTAGCATGGTGCTCAATAAACATTTGTGGAATAATTTAAAAACAAAAGAAACATGCTTTCCATGGTACATATTAACCAGAAGTGCTGGAATACCGTGGTTCTGAGGGTGCGAGGGGGGGGGAAGTTGAATTTTAAACAAGTGAGGCCCCTCCCTGCCCCCTCGTGGTTCTCATGTAAATGGTCTATGATCACAATTTGAGGATATTTACTTGGTTGGTGAGAAAGGAAAGGAGAGAGGACACAGCTTGAAAAAGTCCTTCTGTCCCCAAATGAGAATCAGTCTTCAACCACAATTCTGATCACATCATGTCCTGCTTAAAAACCCATCACTCAATTCAAATATTTATTGACTCCGTGTCAGGCAGTATTCTAGGAGCCTGGGACTCTAGGGTGGCTCCCACTTAGTATCTACGTGACCTTGGAGAAGATACAACCTTCTTTAGGCTTTAGTTTCCTAACGCGCAAAGGCTCTGCGGAAGAAGGGAGCAGGGATCCTCGAGGAACAGAAAGGTCCTTGTGGGCAGAGTACAAAGTGTGGTTCGTGGTAAGAACGGTAAAGAGAGTCAGCTTATAGCACTCAGCACCTTGCAGGTCCTGACGAGAACTTCAGCTTTTACCCCAAGAGCAGTGGAAGCGAAGGAAGGGTTTACCAGCAGGAAGGAGCCAAGCCCAAGAGCAGATATACACAATACCAAGAGTTCAAGTTGACTCAGCACTTCCTTCAGAACAAGGGAAATTAGCAATCACAATCACAGCAGTCAGGTATTGTGAAGGTACTGAGTAAAAATAGTAATGCATCTTTTACATCTTCCCATGTTCCATTTTCTAAGTAAGATGGAAAACTAAATTAAATCTTGCTTATTGGTGTCAACAGTGATCTCAACTCATTCCTGGAATTGTGAATCAGTTTCTTTATGTCCTATACATACCTTTTCTCAATTTAAGATTCTAGAAGCGTTAAGTGTCAGAAATTAAGCCTCAACTACAAAAAACAAAAAAAAAATTTATTAAGTGTGAAAGCAAAACAGGTACATCTATTTAAATATTTTTTTACATATTTATAGATAAAACAAAGACAAATAATTTATCAAAAATTACAAGTTTAAAGAATAGCACTCTTGAAACAGCCAATAAAATATCTGAAAATACCACATTTTACCCATAATTGGTGAATATTATCTGCAAAAAACGTAACTTGCATTTTCTTGTGAAAAATATAAAAGCTGTTTCAGATGTCTGGAGATTGTTCAGGAACGGTCCGTCTTGCTAAACCTAAACAAGCGTAATGCCCTTACTGAGAACTGCTCTCACCAACGGCTTACAGACCACCGTACCCCACGGGTCTCCGGAGAATCTCCGGCTTCATCTCGCTTGCAGACTCCAGGGCAGCAACAGAAACAGAAACAAATCCGAGTGAGACTTTGGGCTTCTTTTCTTCACACTGAGCGAAGAACCTTCTCCTTCGCTGGGTGCAAGACCATGGTGTACTGAGACGTCCAATCTACCGCGCAGGGCTTGACCAGGCCGAAGCAGCCACACTGGAAGAAATCTGCGAGGTTCTGTGTGAACCCAAGGCTGCCAAGAAGGGAAGAGGACACGTCTTACAACACTTCCTGTGGGCTCTCGACAGTCACTCACCCAACCACATTCACTGAGAACTTACAATGCACAGCTACATTCGGAGATCCCGCAGGAATGCAGAGGTGAATCAGACAGTTCCTTGGGTTTATGGGACCTAAAACTGAAGCCGAGTCCCATTTCTGGACCTGAATCCCTATTTAGAGATTCCCTGGCTTCCACCCAGCAACTTACTAAGCTCATTCTGGGTCACTCGCTCACTGCAGTGGTCACTGCCACCACTAAGTTTCTTTCCTTCCGTTCCCACTGCTCTAATTCTGACTTTGATTCTCTCAAAGGCCAGACAAGCCAGAAAAACTACAATCAACAAGACGGGGTTTTTCTAAACCTGCTAAGGAGCTCTCCAGAGGATGTCCCCGTCTCAATTCCTTCTACTTCATCTTACATTTTGGAGACAATCTGGTCCTCCAAAAGCCCTGATACGTTCAGAGCCCCTCACCTCCCAAGCGAAACCCTTTACAGACACTTCTCCGCCCAGAGGCTCAAATCCAAACTCCTCATCTTTGTATTAAAGGCCCTACACTCTCCAGGTGCTGGCTCCCCAAACTCTTCTTTACAAACTTCCTGCTACAGCTACTCTGGCTTTTCTTTTCCCAGGGTCACAACTGCACAGGCCGTTCCTCCACCCTGGAACCTACACTAACCTCAGCTAACCCCCTTATCCTTTTAAGTCCTAGCAGTTCTAAGGCCCAGGTCAACATCTACTTCCTCTTGGAGAATTCTGACTACAATAGTCATCAGCATTATTTCTTCTCCATTAAATGCCCAAATACTAGAATCAAGTCCAGTTACGAGGAAGGTTTATTTTTACGCATATGCACTGTCTTTCCAGCACCTAACCCAACCCCCCACATAAACATGTCTGTGGGTGAGGATGCTCGTGCGCTGCTGCTGTTTACTGAGAGTGGTCAGGAGAGGACCTGGCTACTCAGAAGGCAGCCCCTAGGACGCGGGCTGACCACACGGGATGGACGGGTGGAAGTGCAGAGACGTGCTGGGGTTCAGGGGGCCCAGCTCCCGCACTAGCGAGTGAGTACAAGGTACTGAGGGGAGGACAAACAAGCCAAACCTTTGGTTTGGGCAGGATTTTGGATTTTTAGATTCAAAGTGGCTCTCAGGCTTTCCCAGTAGTTCCTCCAGACTCTTCTCCAGGGCCTGGAGTGCCCTTCCTTCCATCTCCATCATGCCCCACCACGACTTTCAAGGCTCAGCTTAAAATTCCACCTCTATCACAAAAGCTCCCAGACTTCAGTGGAGGAGATATTATTCCTCTGCTTAAACCACTGAGAAAGGGACTTTATTATCACTGCCTGTCTGAAACGATCATCACAAGCTTAACACGACTCCACTCTCCAGCACTTTAGCCATCTCTTCCCAATTAAGCCAGTTTCTCTCCTCTCTAAACACACACAGTAGTCACATCCCAGGCTCTGATTTCCTTGTCTAACAGCCTAACAGTTTCATCTTGTACCACGAGTGTGCTCTAAAATAGACTGCTCACGAGATACGCGGTGAGCATTCCAGTCCCCGGCAGGCTCCGGGTCACCTCTGCAGCCCTGCCGGCCTCCAAGACCCCGATGCAGGTGACAGGGAGACAGGCTTCAAAGCCTGATCATTCACATCCCAAGATGAAGGCCTTCCTATAAACACTCTCATCTTCAACTGGGGACAGGTTTTATATAACCAATGCTCTGGGGAGAACATACCCCAAACCTGAAAAACCAGCTTCTCCCTGACACAGGTGGCAAATTAAACCCAAAGAATTCTGATAATAGAAAGCCAGGTTGAAAATCTTGGCAAAGCTCACAATCTAACGCTTTCTACAGAGAGCCTTGTGGCTGGCTTTCTCAGCCACATGCTTAATTATCTCTCAGTGGCTTCCTGCCAGCAACATGCAATCTTGTGACCATGTGGCTTGAGTGGAGAGATTCCCCATCTTGGCAAAACTTCAAAGTCACTTATTTTTTGTGCTGAGTCCAGGAGACTAAATCCCAAATTCTCACTACCTTGGGGCTCATGACCTTACCACTTACCTCCTGTCACTGAGGCTTCCAAGAAAGAAGAGACCCAACTCCAGCAGATAACAAGTTAGAGGACAAAAGAAGGGCCGTGGGCAGTGGCACTAGGTAGGGAAACCAATGGCCAGGCTAGCACCTTCCACAGGACTCAGCGGCCAGGATGGATCTCACTCACTTGTATGGGGTCCTCCTGAGCGACAACGTCTGCTTCATATGTCTGCTCTGCTTCAGCAGGCTGGTTCTCTCATGCGAGGTCAGGCCCAGAAAAGCAATCTGGAAAAGGTTGGAAGGTATGTGAAAACTACCACTACACGGAGGCTCCACCACTCTTAGCACTGCATCTCAGGACGTGGGCAAACACTCGGTCCTCCCCCCAGACAGTCCACCACGCCTTCCAGCCACGGATCGCCGGTGAGCGCAAAGACTCAGCAGCGATGAACCAGACTCTCCTATGTAAATCTGGTAGCTAGGCTATTTTATTTGTTTTTGATTGTCTGATTTTTATATTAACCTTCAAGAAAACACCGTGCACTGACAGTCGTGAAATAATCGCTTTAGTAATTCAAGCCACGGCTTACAGCCATATTTAGGTTCCCAACACATTCAGCATGCAATTTTTAGATAAATAAAACAACGTAAGGTCAGTATTAGTGCAATTATCTCAACTCGTATACGCTTCTTAGTATCTCTGACAAAAAAGTTACTCTAAAGTGAAAAACATTTAAATCCATAAATTTTGGGAAGGTTACTTAAAAACTCCCAAATTATTGAAACCACTACTATTCGCTGAGTTATCTCATTTAATCCTCAAAACAACTCAAACCTCAAGTTCCTTATCTGCAAACAGAGACGACCACATCTTCATCAGATCGTTTAAGGATCCGAGAATACATCTAAAGTACCCAGCGCAGAGGCTCACAGAGGGGAACTAACTGTCCAAGGCCACACGGCTCAGAAAGTGGCAGAACGGGGCCTGACAGCTCGCTCAGCGTGACCATGGAGCCCAGGGTCCCAACCAGCAGTCACCCGCTCAGGCTGGCGCGCTGCAGTCAAACCATGACTCGCCACAGCCCTCAGGAAATGAAAGGCTTCAAGTAACTGGGTTGTTCTGTTTATTAAGAAAACAACTTTGCTCTGAATTCTTGAATTGAACACTATCCAAAACTTTGAGTCCACTTTCCTGCCTTAGAAAGTATAGACAAACATATTAACCCTTCTTTTAAAAATTAAGGGTATTATAGTCTCATATACTTGTATTTGTTCTAAGAGTCCAGAAAACAAGAAAGAGCTTTAGCACTGATGTCTCGAACCTTAGGTTCTACCCCTGACTGCCCCTCTTACCAGCCCCATGGCCATAAGCAAGGCACTCACAGCTCTTAGGGTTAGCTTTCTCACCCATAAAATGGAGACACCACTTTAGCACTGTCTACACCTCAAATGTTTGTGAGGAAATAGATGGGAAAGTGCTCTGGAATATGTAAAGCATATATAAATGTTAAGTATTACACATGACGGTAATTAACATCAATAATGACCAATGCTAATATCCACTCTTACTGCCTGAGTCTGTAGATACCAGAGGGAAGGGAATTAGGATAAATGTTCAGAAACCTCAGTTCAGTCAGTACTATTAGCTTACTTCCCTTCCTTAGTATTTTGTTCTCTTTATTATTATCATTGTAGAATTGGTTACTTCTCCATAAAAGGGGACTACATCTTGCTTTTGTTGAATAATGCTCTAATTATCTGAGGTCTTGCAATAAGTGGCTCAGACTGCTCATGGCTGTGTCCACTCCATGAGGGCAGGCCATGGCCACAGTGAGAATCAGGTTCCACTCACAGGGGAAGGCAGGCAGGCATGAAGGGACTGGAGCTTCACAGAAAGCTGAAGGTGACTACTACCCTGGAGCTTCAACTTTCTAATGGCCATGACCTTCTCTGGAAGTGAAATTACCATGTCCATTCATTAGCGATGTGTCTTTCATTTTTCCTCACTTCCATCTACTTAAGAACTGCATAATAACAAGGATAACAAACACGGCTGGAAAAAGTGAGGGAAAACCATCACTTCACATTTGCACAAAGCTTTACAGTTTATACCACATGTTCATACACCATATAATTTAACTGTATCATGGAAAAAGTTCTTGAATGGGACTATCAGAAGATCTAAGTTTCCAGTCCTGACTTTGCCACTCAGTGGGTGACCTTGAGCAATTCCAATTCACCTCTCTGTACCTCTGTAAAAGAAAGAGGCCAGATTATGTAACTCCTAGGGCCAACACTAACAATTTATTATTCTAACCTTTAAGCCACCCTGTGACAGTAGACAGGCATTATTATCCCCACTTTACAGACAAGGAAACTGAAATTCAAGAGTCAAATGACATGCCTGGACCCGAAGAGTAAGTGACAGAGGCAGAACTAGAATCTAAGTCTTCTGAATTGAAATTCAAGCCTTTCTATCTCACTACAGGTTATTGGAAATTTTATTCAAAGGCACTATAAGTGAAATAAATACCTGAAAGAGTTGATTTAATAATAAAAATGTTGACCATGAGAAATGGAAAGTCGCTAGCATGAAGACAGATAAAACCCAAGGGGAACAGGCCACAATCTGATTGAGGTAGGTCCACAGTCCATCTTCTCTGAAGGTCGTGGCACAATGATCTGACCAATCTGTGAATTCACAAAAAAGGAACCCATTATTTAAAAAGGCAACAAGCTAGTGATCACTCTTCAAGAAGATAAAACCACGGCAGTTCTATTTAGGGAAAAGAGGAAGCAAGACCTGATGGCACAGATCAGAACTCAACTTTAAGATTTTATCTTCCAAATGCCAGCTCAACTAACAAAGATGAAAAATGGCACCTCACTGTTAGTTAAGACTAGGATAACACTGCATCTGCAGTCAGCAGTGAAGGAATAAAAGCAAAAAAGGTCCATAAAACCATCACTAAAATTAGCATTTTCAGCATAAAATGCACTGGCCAGAACTGTTCAAAGACTCGACAACTGAGAATGATTATATTTAATAAATATTTGTCCTAGAAAAATCTCTATATTGTCCACGTTATAGCAAGATACAGGTCTATTATTACAGAACTGAATATAAACTCTTATTAAAGGTTCAGATCAACAGGCCATCGCTGTGGGCACAGGAAATCCTACACACACCCAGATACCAATGGAACCTAACAGCATGCAGTCACTGGGGGTGCTTCTGCACTGGCACCATACTCCACCCGGTGGAGGGAGAAAGGCCAGGTGAGAGAACATGAGATGGACACCTCCAAGAAAAGGAGAGCAAGATCCATATAGTCACAGCTCAGTTTCTCCCCAGGAACCTCTATTTATATGCCAATTAAAAGAGAGAACTTCTCTATGGCCTTCACGATACTGACCCCTACCCCATGCAGCTGAGAGCAGCAGCAAGGAGAATACAGGCAGGAAGCAGCCAAAACAGAGAAGAGATCTTCAAGCCTGTGTAAAGCCAATGACTTCTATAGGCATCCTGACCGTTCACAAAGGGCTAATTATTTTTGAAATGAGAACTCTGTAGATTTGCACCTTGAGGTTTCATAAATGCCTCTGACAACTTGACGAGTAGTTTTACACATTTTCCCAAAGCAGCACTTTAGAGTTCCTGAGACAGGAAATGAGTCCATGACTTTACTATCCGACCGTCTGTCCATTTCAGTGCTGAAATCTATTCTTTTCTTCCCTCTTTGAGTCTCATTTGATCCCCAACCATCTTTCATGACTATATGCCAGAAGCATTCTAAGAGCAATCATCACAGAGTAACAATCAAGGTAACAAGCTAAGGCGAATTACTCTCTCTTTAGAGCTCCTCATTAGGACAGCAAAGAAAGATGCATCCCATGTACCTGACACAACAAAAAAAGAACATAATTTCCAGCAGCAGGCAGAGAAGACAGCGCTGAGAGGGAAAGGATGGCTCCTTCGTCTCAGCTTATGGATTTCTACTGCTCTCTTCTGGTCAGGTTCCTAATAACACAGCAGGACCTCAAACTGAAGTTTTCATAGGACTGATTTCAGATTTAATATCCAAATATGGCTGCAAATGGCCATGTACATTATCTTATGCAATATAACACTTTAATATGTACTAATATTACTTTCTTATCAAGTAGTCATTGGCTAACGGCCGGGAACTTGTATGGCTCCAAGTCAATCATTTTCATCTTTAGAGAGCTCTGACAGTTACAAAGTTCTTCCTCAGTGATCCAAAATCCTTCTCCTGGTAATCTGTAGGATGCTGACACTTTCTTAGTTACCTACTGACCACTCTGCAAACAGACCCCCAAAAGAGGAAACGCATGGAGGCCGCGCAGAGCCAGAAGCAGCTGCCACTGGATCACACACAGGAGAGGGCAGAGAGCAGGGCTCTAGTAATGGCAGCGTCAATGGTAAACAAAGAAGCGGGATGACAGCGAGGTCTCATTAGAAAAATGGAGCACAAGTTCATTTGTTCTGTGAAATGATAAATGACAAGATGTCTTCATTCAGTGCAGAGAAATGCTGTCAGAATATAAACAGGATAAAAGTAACAAAATATGTTCAGCTAGCCTACAGAGTTGTAAGTGAATGTAAGGTGGGACTGCTCCTAAGAAACAAAACATAACATGAAAATTGGATCAGAGCCGGAGAATAAAGACAGAGAGGAGGGAAGAACCAAAGCCTGCACTAAGACAGCAACCTGGAAAGACGGAACGTGACGGAAAATTCCTTCTGTCCTTATCAGTACAGTCTTATGCTGGACATAGACACCAAACAAAGGGGACTATTTTTAGCGAGGGAGAGACAAGAGTGGTGTAGAATCTGGCTCTTTTCCCTTAGGATCCAGTCCAAGGGACAAGTTGGACCATGAGCCAGCTTAAAGAGGTTTTCCAGGAATATACTTTACTGTCAGACCTTAAAAGGGCAGCTCTTTCAACAGAAAGAAGCACTGTCAAAAATCTTTTATTTCTTACACCACAGGACATAATCTAAGAGGTTTTTAAGTCCCAGTGCTCAGGATTACTGATGACCTTTGACAAGAACTGGGATCAGGCATCACAACGTTCTGACTATGAGATCCATTTGAGATGGTGACCGTCACGTGGAGCTACAAAAGCATTCCCTAGTGACCCGACGACCAAGGCGTCAAGTGGGAAAGGCCTGACAAGGTAACCAGGCCCTCTCCACACCTACGGCAGGGCAAAAACAGACCATCTCACACAGAGATTAACTGACAATCTCTAAAAATGAAACCCCAAACAAAAAACACTTAGAATACTGGATTCTAGGGAGGGGGACTGAGAGGCTGGGGAACAGTGTAGGAGGAATTATCTTTCTTTTTTTATTTTTTGAGGAAGATTAGCCCTGAGTTAACATCTGCTGCCAATCCTCCTCTTTTTGGTGAGCAAGACTGGCCCTGAGCTAACATCCATGCCCATCTTCCTCCACTTTATACGTGGGATGCCTACCACAGCATGGCTTGTCAAGCAGTGCCATGTCCACACCTGGGATCTGAACCGGCGAACCCCAGGCCGCTGAAGTGGAACATGTGCACCTAACCACTGCACCACCGGGCCAGCCCAGGAATTATCTTTCAAAAACTAAAAATTTAAACTAAAGAAAGCCAGAGAGAGGGCGGTGGGAGGGAGTGGGGATTGGGGGGTGCAGAGGTGGCTTGGGACACTAAGGGAAAAAGAAAGAAACGTAGGAAAACAACTTTCCAACATCTTCCTGAACCATTCCAGATTTTAGCTCAAGAACAAACTAATATTTAGTACTCTACTGGCAAAATCCAAGACTTGAGCACCAACATAACAGGAGGGTGGATGGAAACAGATCAGCAGTGAAGCCTCCACCTCCGGAGCCAAATTCTCCTAAAGCCTTCACATAAGTAAGTAACAAACAGAAACAATTAAAGTCAAAATAAACAAACTACAAGCACTCTAAGTTTTTCCAATTAGGTAACCTATTCCAAGGTTTGAAAAGCAAAGTCATGCAATTCCTAAGCACTAACCAACGGGTGGGCCGGTGGCGCAGCGGTTAAGTGCGCACATTCTGCTCCGGCGGCCTGCGCTTTGCTAGTTCAGATCCTGGGTGCGGAGCTTCGAACCACTTGGCAAGCCATGCTGTGGCAGGCGTCCCATGTAGAAAGTAGAGGAAGATGGGCACGGATGTTAGCTCAGGGCCAGTCTTGCTCAGCAAAAAGAGGAGGGTTGGTGGCAGGTGTTAGCTTCCTCAAAAAAAAAAAAGAGCTAACCAAAATCCTTCTTTTTTTTTTTTGAGGAAGATTGGCCCTGAGCTAACATCTGTGCCCATCTTCCTCTATTTTGTACGTGGCATGCCACCACAGCATGGTTTGATAAGTGGTGCGTAGGTTCGCACCCAGGATCCAAACCGGTGAACCCCGGGCCGCCAAAGTGGAACACGTGAACTTAACCACTACACCACTGGGCCGGCCCCAAGAGCTAACCTAAATCCTTCTCGCTTCAATTTAAACTCTATTCTTCTTAGTCAATCCCCTTGGAACAGCTGGATGTGACACGGGAGGCCTCCAGACGCCCTTTACACTGCTACTGAAGAGCGATTTTCCTCTCTCAGGGATGCAGAATAAGTAACCTAATGTTTTCTTCCAAGTTATTCTTTCCACCCTTTCAATGACTGGGACAGTTTTCCCAGCAGTTCTAAGTTGTGATTTGATATTTATCAAATGGCATGTGCTTTCAGGGTTTTGTTCCTCAACTACTGTGATGACCTCCCCTCTCCCCCAACCTCTCCACTCAACCTTTCTTTTCCCGTTTTATTTACTTACCAATTCCCTTGCTTTGTACTCGAACAGTTGATTTTTTCCTCACTTCACTGGGGGGGTCAATCTGCACTTGCCTTAACTGAATTTGTCTTTTTGACCACTTCTCAAATTTATCGAGGTCACCTTAGAGTACAGTCTCTTCCAAAGTACTGACGATTACCCTCTTCTAGCATTTCCGGCAGCTTCCCAACGCTGGGAGAGTTTTAGAGGCATCTGCTTCGTGTGTAGTAAGGGTAGGGCTTACAGGCACCCAGCCAGAATGTGATATACGAGAGTTTACAGGGTAAACGCTACGTAGGTGGGGGCATGAGCTTGCTGTAGGAAAAATGTATACTTACAGATGAAAGACTCATACATCATCCAGTCACACACGACGGAAAGGAAAAGTAAGAAGAATACGTAATAGTGATGGTTGCCAAAACCTACATCAAAAAGAAGAACAACATATTTAAAACTTTCTTCCAATGATCTGCCAGCTCAAGACCTTATTAATCACTTTCCTGTCAAAAGCCTTCAGCAAAGTGAAAAAGAGAGAACCTGTTGCTTTGCTTTTAAATACCATTAAAGCAAAACCAAAGAGCTCTGATATGTCGTGGTCAACTGTCCACGTTAACCGAACTAACCTTAATTCATTACTCACCTAAAAGACACTTTTTTGAATAGCACAAAGCTTAATAAGCACACACAGCTCTAGGTTGGCCCTTATTGTGTGGGAGGGAGGGAAGCGGGCAGGATTTTGGGCAAATCACACCTGTCTCATCCTTCCTTCCTGTAATGAGTTTATGTAAGTACCACTTCTGGACAGCAAGTCTTGCCCTGATCAGGGGAACAGAGACAACAAATCCGAGGGCCAGCACTAAATAGCTACATTGCAGGAGATTGGACACAGCCAAAGAGGGGCACACTGCAGCCCGAGAAAGGTCTACACCAGCGAGGAAGGGGTGAAGCACCCAGCAACCAAGCCCCACTGCTGTGTGCGCTGCCCTCTGGATGCTGGAGTCAGAGCGTTTCGATGTTAATGACACAAAAGCTCCTCAGGTACCGCCACGCTCCCACCTTCTCCTGAGGCCACAAAGCCCAGCAGAGAGAGGAGCACCTCCTAGAGTCAGGAGCCCGAGGTGCATGAACGACATTCGTGTGAATACAAGTACTTTGTTTAACTTCTCTGATCCAGTGCTCCCACTTGTAATAGGGGGGTAATATCCCTTTTGTCTACTTCATGGGCCTGTGGCCACCAAACAGGGTGATGCACGTGAAAACTCTACGTTAAATGCAGTGTGAGGAAAATATTTGGACTCATCGTTATTGTTTTTCCACTGCCATTCAAAGCTGCCTGTAACGATGCCAATCATCTCATCTTTACGGTGGGATGGCATCCACAAAGCTTGGGAGCCCAGCAATTCTCTCTTTGCCTGTTCTCTAAGAAGAGTAGAGAACATCAAAAGGCACCCAGGAAACCTGCCTGCGCTGAGGCAGCCTTCTGCTCATCAAGATTAGGAAAGCACAGCCTCTCCAGTGACCATGGTTCCTCCAAAGTCCCTCCTAACAAATCCCTGCCGTTTACCATGACAGCTCAGAGGGATCGGGAGAAGGAACATGCCCCAGGTGGAAGGCAATTCCCAGACCTCCGCTGCCTCTGGTTCCAGCTCCTACGTGAGCTTGGAAGGAGGCAAGCGGAGAAGGAGAACAACAGAAACAAGCCACAAAACGTGGTCAGAGCACGGTATTTGGAGTAGAAGACTAATACCACTAAAGTGACCTCAAGCAAGTAATCTTACCTTGCATATTTTTTTTAACTCTAAAATGGAGATAATAATAGCAGCCTCATAGGTGTGCTCTGATGATCAAACAGGATACTACATACGAAAGTGTCTGACAATGCTATACAATATATCATACAAACGACATTTATCATCAACATCGACAGTTTGCCAAAAGTGTTAGACCACAGAGATGATTCTCTGACAAGGAAGAGCTAAAAAATGGACCCCTCAGATACTCTTCCACTTTTCTCATGAGTCTCACACATAATGAAATAAGTGTTACTTCACAGTGGTAACTGAAAAAGTCAGTCTCTCACCTACGCACCGTCCCGTCCACAGGCAGTGTTGATCATATCGAGCCACACAGGAGTTGCACACATGGCAATGGAGTGACCTCAACGGCTTCCTTACCTAAGTGGGCAATTAAGAGATGCCTAAGCAAAAATCAGGGTTTCAAAGTGGTAACAAATCACAAGCAAAATTTTATTCCCAAATCGTAAAGACAACAGCACAAATAATCCTAAATAGATCATCAATTCACACGGAGGTTCTGGAATGCCTTAGGAACACTTCCTTCCATACGTCTATTTTAATTAGGCCATCACTAAAGGGGATTTGAATTCAGAGCCTCCTGACACTGACTAAGGGGAAATGAGAGTACCAGACAGCAGAATGAGCACTGGAATAAGAGAAAGGAAACCCGAGTCACATTTCTGGTCTGCCAATAACTTGGAGAAAGTCACTTCTTCCCTTTAGGCCATGATTCCTCAATTACAAAATGCGAGGTTTCACTCAGTGGCTTCTATGGTCATCACAAGCCTCTGACTCCCAGTTAGTGTTAACACGCCCCTCGTGGCCGGAAAAAGCAAACAAAACACACAGATTGAACCACAGGCTACTGCAACAGATTACAAACATCAGGCCTCCCATATGTCCAAGGCAGAAAATTGCTCTGGCAGTAATGCAAAATGAGAAGCTGGTGAAAACAAAGGTGTATAAATATACCAGGAAGGTTTGACAAGTGCTTACACGAGCAATGTAACCAAGAATTTGCTTGAACTATGGGAAAAAAATCATAAAGAAAAGACTCACTCACAAGACATGATGTACAAAATGTTCTGAAGTCCAGACAGCCCGTCTCCGCGAGGGTGATGATGTTCTGAAAGACAGGAAGTTTGACCTCGCATTTATGCTTTCCTGGGGAGCGCATGCTGCCCGGTTAGGGACCATGCTCACAGCTGTCTCTCCAACTGAGGCAGCTAGAAAAGCAATTTGGAAGACTTGCCACCAAATCATTCTGCACTACAAATAATGTGACTTTTCAAGGCTGCACTTTCAACCATAGCCAATAAATGAGAATGCATAAAAGTTACACCCCCTCTTGTCTCCATGAATGGCAATCATTTCCCAGTTATAATCTGGAGAAAAATACATACACACACATACACTCATAAGAAAGAAACAAAAACCACCAGTACACATCAGAACTGACAGTTGTAAGCACAAGGGCTCTTTCAGGAACACTGGCGTTAGGTAACAAAGACAACGACTCCCCCCAGCTGCTAAATATTCATGAGCAATGGAAGACACGCCACATATCTGACAACCCACATCTGAGGAGGACAAGGCATCTGATCCTCAGTCACCCTCCCTGTGTTCAATGGGGGGCGGGCGGTTTTAAGCTAAACAATCATCTGAGAGTTACTATAAAGAAGCAGGAGGTCCGGTCTGCTAGCAGAAATTACATCTGACCAAGTCTTGGTGGGGTATTACTTTAAAAGAAAATAAAAATATTTCTTAAAACTTTCATAAAATAAACGGAAAAATATGAGTGGAGAACTCTCCTTTGCTGACGTAATCATTCCACGTTTACGCGGCATCTATTAGGCGCCAGGCACTAGAGATGCAGCCATGACAGAAACCAGCGTTGCTAGGACCCTCTGAACGCTGAAGCTCACATACCCTCCCACAAACACCACCAGTCACATCACAAAGAAGGCTCACCGTTTTCCTCTCTTCTTCAGAAGCCTTAGTGAAGCCTGGATCGGTTGCCCAAGTCTTGTAGAAAAAGTAGAGGAAGGCTCCTATACTGAGGATGAAAGCGAAATAGAAAGGGGTGCCTGCTAGATGTCAAAGCCAAGTTAAGGAACGGATCCGACTCCCACTAAGAGTAATTACATACATAATACATACATAATACACTATACATAATAATTACATACATAATAATTACATAATTACAGCATAATTTCATGTAAGCAAGTTTCATCACTGGCGCCTAAGACTCTCCCTCCTCTGCGTCCTAGCCTCACCTTCCCTTACGTACTCACATCCCTGGCCCTATCCTACGTTCTAACCCTACCGCAACTTGCTCATAGTTGACCAATAATTAATTCCTCCTCACTAGTTGAAAGTCATATGAAATATTGATAGCAATAGTTGCAATATATGAAGAACAAACATCCCGAAGACTGAAAAACATTTAAGATCCAAATAAATTAATCTCTAATGGTGTAACCGTGGCTCTCCTGTGACCTTCTAAAAAAATTATTTCTGGTCATTTTAACAAAATCATTTAAAGACACAAGCCACTCAGTTCAGAGATTCCAACTAAAAATATTTCCCTAATATTAGATAAATGCTTGCAAAAATTTCCTACCGGAAAGTTTAGTAACTAATCCTTGTAACTGTATTAGGAAGAGTCAATTTAGAAACAAACAAAAGAAACGGTTCTCCCTGCAAAGTGATTATAAATCAAACGCTAATTGGGAAAGCAGACATTATGGATAAATGAAGATAAGTGTTTCAAGGATAAACATTACCCACTTTGAAATGCTTTTGAAGTGCTACAAATTCTTTGTATGAAAAGTAAAAATATGCTCCAGAGAAAGAGAAATGAACGTGCAGGAACAAACCAACCACCAGGAGTAAACCCGTTCTCCCCGCCCAGCTCAAGTCATCATTGACATGTTAATTTGCAAGGTGTTGCCAAGATGTCTTCTGCCAAACTTAAGAGTGGAAAAGGTGGCCATGAATTAGATGCTAAACCCTTGCTCTCCAAAGTGTGGTCCATGGACCCACAGCAATGGCTTTCCCTGGGACCCTGTCAGAAAGACCTCACTCCAGACCTGCAGAACCAGACTCTGGAATTTAACAAGATCCCCAGGGGATCCACACGCACATTACAGTTTGAGGAGCACTGCTCCATCTCACGAAAACCAGCACAACCCCATCTGGTTCAGGTAGACGGCAACAAATCTTGTTGGTTTAGTTACTCAGTTTATCTGCAGATGGGCCTGGCTTTAAGAAACAGACGGGGTCCAGAAAAGCTGTGTGAAACTGAATTTTGATGAATAAAGCTTAGTTAGAATGAATTAGGAAGAACACTATTAAGGAGTACATAGGTCAAGACCTTTTGTTAAAGAACTGTATCATATTTTCCCCCATAAAATCCTGATCCGCACACACGACACATTCTCACACTAATGTCAGGCTGAATCACGTGATGATGCCGCGCACTGCGCTGACTGGACGTTGGGCTCCTGCTCTGAATAACCTTCAAAACCAGTCCCAGGAGGATCGCTGGACTCTCCCTCCAAGGGAAGGGAATTCCACTACGTCCCCTCGCGTAAAAGCAAACATGCCTTGCCTCGTGTGGTTCACTGACCCCAAACGCTCCCCACTTCACCATCTACTTCACAATGACACTTTCAGGAGGCCCAAGTCCTACCCACCTCCCAGAACTCACTTGGATTCCCCCTCCCCTGGCAGGTCTTTCCTGATCCCTACAGAGGACTCCCTCCCTTCTCTGGACCTAAGAAAGCTTACTCTATGGCACTCAGACCTGAGACGATGGCTATTTACAGACACATCAACCTCCCCAGCTGGCTTGTGACCCTTTGGCAGTTGAAAAGTCTCCACAGGGAGCTAGAATTTGCCTTTCTGTAATCTGGACTAACTGGTTTGGGTTCTGCAGAGCCTTGGGCTCTCCCCCGTGGATCTGCACTGCAGCTGTCCTTCATGTCCACCCGACAGAAGCTTATTCCTCACCTGTGCAATCAACTTTCACGGAGGGCCCGTTCCATCAATGCATTGGCTTCCAAATGATAGACTTCCAAACACTTGAAATTAAAAGGCAGTGCTCCCATCTCCAGGGTAAGCGACAACACTGTTGCTTATTCCACAGTTGCCTGGTCATGGCCCTCGGTTCGTGCTCCCATTTGTCACTCTCTTTTAAAAGAACAGCATTGAAAAGAGAGCAAACACACTTCAGGCGTGTTCTCACAGTGCAGACGACAGTGACGTCCTCTGCTTGGACACTCAGATCCTCATCCTGCTACTGGAGAGCACACTGGCTTCCTTGACAGCTGCGTCACTACCCAGACCGAGCCTTCAAAGTTCCTGTTCTTTTTCACTTGACCTGAAGCTCCGTCATTCTCACCACAACATGTACATGTACACGTGGATTCTCTGAAACAGGACTTTGCATGTATTCATCCCTCTTAAATTTAACTGGGTTCGCTAGTCAGAATCACAGATGACACATTCAGAGGCTCACCATTTCTTCCCTGAGTCTTAATCTTACCTCCAAAATCATCAGTAAAGTCCTGTCTCTTTCACTCAATCCCACCTCACGAATGCCAAACACATTACCTGCTGAATATAAACAATGCAGCAAAAGAAACTGATTGAGAAGCTAAACCACAGTTGTCCTTAACGTGAACTTCAACATGCAGCCTTCCACACAGATTCAGGCACAAGAGTAATTAGTAATAACAATACGTATTATTTACAGAATGCCGATTATGCAGTTGAGAACAGTGGTCAGCACCTTAGAGACATCACAGCGTAGTAAGCCTTGCAGCCACCGCATGAGCTTGGTACTTTTACCCCCAATTTGCAGGAAAACTGAGATGGTGAAATTAAATAACTCCCAACGGTCCATAACCAGTAAGAAAAAGAGCCAAAACTCCAACTCATTCTAACTCCAAAGACCATACTCTTTCCACAGGGCCCCAGAACCTCTTCCCGTGACGGACAAGGTGGCTGCGGGGTCCCATGCCACCCAGACACCTGGGAACCAGACCTTGGCACCGAGACAAGACTAGTCTAAATACTCAGGATGGGTCTTTACAGGGCAGCACCTCAGTCCACAGCCAGCGCACTTCAAACAGCATTCACATTCGCTGTGGAAAACACTGATCTGACGGCAAAGTGTGCCATCTACTGACCGACAATGTCCTTGCCAGCAGCAGACCCACGGGTGCCTGGGCCAAATGGCTTTATGTGAGTTAACTATCTCACCTGTCAACTCCAGCATCTCAAGATTCTGTCTAGCTACAGAAATCAGTTCTTCTAATATAATGGCATCTTCACAAATATCGAACAGTTTATAGTTAAATTCAACTGAATACTAAGTTCTGTAACTGAGGTTTTCAAACTACAGTGGAGTTACACTTTAGTTAGTATTGATTCTGCAAATTTGAAATAATTCAATATAAAAACGATCTCACCTTTTGCGCAAAATTGGAAATACTGTGAGTTGTTCAAATTTTAAAAATTCACCAAGGAACACCATCTAAAAACTGGACTGGGACAGCCCCAGCAGCCTAGTGGTTAAGTTCGGCATGCTCCACTTCAGCAGCCCAGGTCTGGTTCCCAGGCACAGATCTATACCTCTCATCTGTCAGTGGAGGCTGTGGCAGTGGCTCACAGATAAAAAGAGAAGACTGGCAGCAGAAGTTAGCTCAGAGCAAATCTTCCTCAGTAAAAAAATAAAAAATAAAAACAGTTGGGGCCAGCCCAGTCACATAGTGGTTAAGTTTACACGCTCCACTTTGGTGGTGTGGGGTTTGCTGGTTCAGATCCTGGGCGTGGAGCTAGCACCGCTTGTCAAGCCACACTGTGGCAGCATCCCCCATAAAACAGAGGAAGACTGGCAACAGATGTTAGCTCAGGGCCAAACCTCCTCATGAAAAATAAATAAATAAATAAATAAATAAAATCTGCATTTACTCCACAGCCACGTGGGTTGGTAAACAAAAACAGCAGCCACCCCTTCTCAGCATCATGTCATTACCCTAGAATTCACCAGCCTTCGGACTCTTACAAGGGATTTTGGTTTTTACTGTACTGTTATTTTATGCACTCATGGTCACTTATAAATTAAAATATTTTTATATCACATAATGATATCATCTAAGCCTTCATTAACTGGTGGTAATAAGACTAGTGCTTAAAAATCTGCTCCCAAATCAGTAATTAGGAGACAAAGGTTAAATGTAGTAAACTCTTTAAAAAAATCAAATGACCTCATTTAGATAAAGGAATCAGAAAAATATGCAAGATAATGCTCAGAATTAAAAAGGATCATTAAAGTAAAAACGTGCTATAATGAAGGTAGATGTATGTACTCTCATAACTCACATGCCTCTCTCACTTTACATTTATTCTTATGAAAAAATATGCTTGAATTGAGTGTGTTCTCTCTCCCATAAACACTATTCTTTCTTTTCAAAAAAGCCATTATCAGAAAGAGAAATAATATAGAAGTTAAAGGAATGTGCTTAAAGGTCCCCTTCTCTCCACCACATTCCTTCTTCTCCTACTCAGTAAGGAAGGCAAGGCTATGATGGCTTCCGAGGGTCCTTGCAAGGGGTGAAGGGAGCCTGGGAAGAGGAGGGAAGATGGAAAATCAGAGACAATGCCTCCCTCCTAATGGGAGCTATAAATAGGATAAACCAAGATGTACCTCCTCTCCCCACTTCCGGGTGCCTGGACTTGACCAACCCTAAGAGCAAAACACACCCCTAAGCTGGACTTGGCCTGGGCCCTGCTCCTCAAGTGATAAACCCATGCCTTAGATGAGCTGTTTTTAAAAAAATAAAAACCATGGGCTGCATCCATTAGCAGGCCACGAAGAATTAAATGGGCTGTGACCAGCATCTTTAAACAAGGAACTAGAATAGGGTAAATAACAAAACACCAGAGTAAAGCACATAGCAGGAGTATTGTTTTATGAAACCTTTTTCACATATGTTTTGGGTGGCAATGTAAATTTCTCTTTACTGTGGATTGAGAACCACTGCCGTGGTTAGTAACACTGCATTGACCATTGCTGAGGAGGACACATTTCCCCAACATCCCCGTCACACAGCCCATCTGGTACCCAGAAGATTTATGAACCATCTATAACTGCTGACCATGTGAAAAGGACTATCCGACCTTGAAGGGAATCTCAAGGCGATACAACAAACTTCCACAAGTCCAAGTAAGACAATAACTCATCCTGCTGTTTCCTTCCTATGAGCGATAAATACTTGACACGGACTGTTTCCATAGTGAGCTCCGAGATTATCTCTAGAATCAAGAAGATTTTTAACACTAAATATCTTCAACCAGAATCATTAAATGAACCAGAATCATTAAACTCAAACATGAGTTGCATTGCCTGGATCTCTTCTCATATCTAAATTTCTAACAATGGCATTAGTAGATTTTTTTTTTTCTTTTTTTTAAAGATTTAATTTTTTCCTTTTTCTCCCCAAACCCCCCCGGTACATAGTTGTATATTCTTCGTTGTGGGTCCTTCTAGTTGTGGCATGTGGGATGGTGCCTCAGCGTGGTTTGATGAGTAGCGCCATGTCCGCGCCCAGGATTCGAACCAATGAAACACTGGGCCACCTGAAGCGGAGCGCGCGAACTTAACCACTCAGCCACGGGGCCAGCCCCGCATTAGTAGTTTTTAAGGCAAAATGAGATACGATATGCACCTAAATTTAAGCTTGAAGGATATCAGGAAGGAAGAAGATGAACCAAGTCACAAATATCCAAAAAATGGAACTTAGCAGAAAGACTGTTGGAAAGTAAACAAGGCTCTTATATCCAACCAAGAACCTGAAAGAAAAAAGGATAAATGTAAGATATTAGTAAAAAACAAACATGATTCATATTTAGAACTTTAGTTCTAAATTCCCTTAAATAACTACAACAGCGTGCACTTTCCACGTGGTAACAGTTACGTGCCCACTTCACACACAGAAAACTAAAGCACAGATTCTCAAGAAGTGAAGGTTCTAGTTCTTATAACTAACTTCCACATCACTTCATTCCTTTATATAAGTTTACATTTTTGATGAACCATTTTTATTTCTGTTGAGATATATCCTATTTGTATTTCTTTTTCTGGCACATCATATCTCCAAAACTCCAAAATGCAGAGACTCTAATCCTTAGAGATTCACCTGCACATTTAACAAGCTCTCCTGCAGAGGCGGGCCGTCTGTTTCTGAAACACACAGATGCACCTTGCTCTCCCACCAGCTTGAGAAGCAGACACTCTACCTAAAGAGATGCATTAAGGCTACAGGTGGCACTGTCATCAGAACAGTAACCACCTCGCTTGGGTAACAAGCAACTTGGAAGTCCACATATAACTTATTCAAATGCTTAACATTGTACCTTCAAAAGAAAAAAACCTGTCTTTTACATTAAACAATATAGTAAATCTACACTTGAATATAGTTTATTTGGATCTATTTTAAAATTTATACCAGGGAAAAACAATGGTTGATGATGGATATGAAAAGGGTTTAAAAAAGCTATCAAGATCATAAGGATAATTAAGCTCAAGTAATATCTGAGAAGAACTAAAGATCCCAAACTTCAGGCACCCAATATGCTGCCAGAAGAGGCCAAAAGAAGCCCACGCCTTCTCCAGGGCACGACCTGGCTGAGACGCTGCAGTGGAATGGGTCTGACGGAAGGCAGCAGCGAACCACCTATTTCTAAGAGCCTGCTACCCAGACCCGTCTCCTTCTGATGGGCGTCACATAGCGCCTGGGTCAATAAGCAATCGCCCTGGAGCCTAACAACTGTAGAAGTTTGCAGCTGCTTACCCCCATGAAACTGGGACTCTCGAGGAGTGTGGGAGACTCAAAAGCAGTGTGAATGAAACTGCCATATGCATTTGTCTCCCGTCTGAATGTGGCCGTGCACCAAGCCTAGCAGGAGGAAGCCCTCGACTCAGTCATCAGAAACAATTTCATATCAATTTTTTATAACGTGGGTTTCTACTAAATCAAAAAAATCTCAAATGCCCCTACCCTAGGTGGGTAGATATTGCCAGCCTTTGCTTTCTCTCTAGGAAAAAACTCCAAAAAAGTGATGATTATGATTCCTGGTGATTTGGCCTGAAATTTATTTGGAGACTGAGTCAATCCAATTAGTGGAAAATGAATGAATATCTCTAAGTTACAAGTTTTCTGCATAGTGACAACTTCAGGCATTTTGCTATTTTTCAGAAATTTGAGCTTTTACTCTAGTCTTAAATTCTAAATCATTTCCAGCCAACTGTCCTGCTTTGAGTGACCAAGTGGTAAGATTCCTCTAATACTCTGTTTTTTCTTATGACAAAAGCAGTGCATTCCAGAAATCGCTGGCAGGCGAAAGAAGAGCACAGAAACACACATGATCACAGCCTGAAGGAGCAACGCTGCATTTCCTTCGAGATCCTGTTCTCTGGATCATCACCACCATCTTCTTCTTCCATTCAGTGGATGAAAATGTTCACCGGGAGCGACAGCGTCCTGCTCGTCCGGGCCTCGCACTCCAGGACGCAGCGGCACTGTGCCACGAAGAAAGCAGAGCGGGGTGATGCCACTGAGTTCACCGGAACGGCCTCACTAAGGAGGCGGCACTGGGACTGAGGCCTGAGCGCTGCCACCAGACCACAAGGATGTGTATCAGACCCTGCACACGGGGACACAGGCAAGAGCCGAGCCCCGGCGGAGTGAGTGAGGGTAGTGTGTTCCAGAAACAGAAAGAAGGCTGGAGAGCGGTGAGGGAAAGAGAGGAAAACCACGAAGCCGGAGGGGAGAGAATGAATTACATCCACCTCATAAGCAGGGAGCTGGGATTTTATTCTGAGTATAAGGAAAAGCCCATGGAGGGGGCCTTTAAGCAGGCAGAAACGACAGAGACTGATCTGCCTTTTAAGAGACCACCCTGGTACAATTGGGGATGAATTACAGCGGGACAAGTGCTGAAGCCAGGACGCCAGGGAGGAGGCTGGGCCAGGGTCTGGGGTCTAGGGGCCAGGTAAGGAGATGGAGAGAGCAGACCACCTGGAGGGAAAGCAGGAAGGGCTAGACGTGGGAAGTGAACAGAAGGGAAGAAGCATGGATGACAGTAATCCAAGGATGACACTCATTACTCACATGAGGAACTGGATGCCATTTTACTGAGAAAGGGAAATGAGAAGAAGAGACTGGGGTGTGACATGATTACTGAGCACTGTGTGTCAGCCATGGTTCTAACCACTGGATATGTATGAACGATGAGGCAGACACTGTCACAATTATAAATTACTTTATAGATGAAGACATTGAGGCACAGACAGGTAAAGCAACTTGTTCAAGGTTACACTGTGACGTGGTAAAGCTTTGACTTGAACAGGCAATCTAACTCCTAGCCTGTGACTACATATAATCACGGATAAATGTTTTCCTAAAAAGAGAACTATACCAAAATTACTATTTCATAACTTCCTATGATTTAATTAGGTTGTTTCATCTAAAAATCATTGATCAAAAATAACTAGCTAAAAATGCATTTAGATTTAGTAAAGGAAAAAGCAAAATTTCTGAAAAATGGGTAAAAATGCTTCAGGATGCAAAACAGTTACAAAAATCTTCCCATTATCCACCATAAGTAACAATTCAAAAAGTGAGCTAAATATTTATTTTCCACCAATTGTCAATTCAGTCAAATTACTGGGTTGACCAATTTGCTTTAAGCCAAGTCATACGCCACCAAAGGCCCTCTCCCACCAACGCTGAGCACGTTTCCATGTGGTAAGTAACATTCATAGCTCAATAAAAATCTGTGATTCCAGCTAATCAACAGTAAAAATAAGCAATCAAATTGGAAATACAATAACCAGCCTTGCAAAGTCTAATATACACACCTTGGAAACAAAGATGTCAGAAAAAACAATGCTACCAGAAGACATCCTTTCAAAAGCCAAGAGTCTGAATTGAAGTCCAGTATGTATCCAACAGCCCACATGGTCATCACACAGACCAGCAGCAGCAGGAAGAGCTATCGAGAGAGTCAGAGGTTAGAACTGTATGGATTTTACCTCTTAAGTACCTAATAATAATTAGTGTAATACAAGAACTACCTCTAACTATAGAAAAACAATTAATACAAAAGCACAACACAAGAGTTTTTCTTCAAAATTGCTGATACATTTGAAGCTTGAGAAATTAACAAATCTTAGAAACAATCTCTTAAAAGCCTTACATTTTATAAAATGTTGCTTAAACATATTTGTTTTGCTTTCCTGCCCTCCAAGAAACGGTGGTCTTTTAGAAAAGTGCTAACGATAGATAACATTTTAAAAAATAATTTCTTTCAAACAGTACTATATGTCAGAAAGCATAAAAGCAAGACAAAGGGACCACACAAAAATCAATACACCCAAGACTTAATGAGAAAAGCACAAGAGTTTCAGCCTGGGCACCAGCTGGTGCCAGGGTCTAATAAAGAAAGTTAGGAGGAACACGTTTGCAGAAATTCAGATGAGTCTGGTTTAGGGCATGTGGAATTTTCGATGCCTATGGACATCTAGGAGAGACCCAGGAGGCAGTCAGAAAACCAGCTCTACCACTCATGAGAAAACTTAGTATTAGTCCATATATAGGTGGTAAAGCCACGAACGAACAACATCCCAAGGACTGTGTGCAGGGAGAAAGGGGCAGAACCTTGGGTAACACAAACACTTACGGGCAAAAAAGCTAAGTCCCCAAAGGTAACTAAGAAAAAGTGACCAGTGTGACCAGAGAGGTAGGATGAGAACCAGGAAAAGGTTTCCAGTGAAGCCTGGGACGAGTTTCAGGAAGGGGGTAGTACTTGGTGTCAAATGTCACATGGAGGCCAAAGATGGAAACAGGTCCTCAGGATGCTACTAATTCAGGCTTTTTCTGGAAAAGTTAACCAAAAGCGTGAAGTGTCTGCACTGAAGCCAGGCCCCACATTTGTGCGGTCTCTTAACCGGAATGCACATGACATTGGAAGTAAAGCAGGGCTTTTGCAACAGCAAAGGGAGAAAATTTTTACTTCCCTAAGCCATACTCTGAGGATGGATAATTTCAAATGATATCAAACTTTTAAAATGCTTCCAATTTTAATTGCATAACATAAACTAAGAAAGTTTAGATTTTTTTTAAAAAAGTAAATTTAGAATCTATAAGCAACATAATCTCAGAACAGAAATAAGAATATGGATCTCAAAATTTTAATACCAGATACAACACTCTTACAGATGAGTCACACTACTCATTCAACAAACACTCCAGTGCATGCTACATGCTAGGCACTGTTCAGGCACTTGGACAACATCAGCGAATTGAAGGTCTTCTCCCATGGAGCTTCAATTCTCACAGGGGAAGACAGACAGACAGACCTACTAAGTGAATTTTATGGTATATAAAAAGCTGGATCACACAGGACCTTGTAAGCCATTGTAAGGACTTTGGCTTTTATTCCGAGAGAAAGGGGGAGACGCTGTCGGTTTTGAGCAGATGACAGACAGGCTCTGACTTACATTTTAAAAGATTCATGTGGCTGCTGTGTTGACAGCCGACTAGAGGTGAGTCAGGGCAGGGAGAAGTCAGACAACCGCAGCAATCCACATGAAAGACATTGTGGCTGGACCAAAATGCCGTTGGGGGTGTGGTGAGCAGGAGGCGGACTCTGGATATAAACTGAGGGCAGAACTAACCAATACGTTTTTCTGATGGACTAGATACATGGCACGACAAAGAAAAGGCAAAGATGACAGGAAAGCTGGAGCTGCCATCCACTGAGATGGAGAAGGCGGTGGATAGAATAGTTGGGGAGGGGGCGGAGAAGAGCAGGAGGGCAGATTTGGATCTGTTATGTTGGAGATGCCTATAGGACACTGACCGTAAGTCAAGTAGGTAATTGGATATCCAAGTGTGGAAAGGTCTGAATTAGAGATAAATTTGGGAGTTGTCAACATAAAGATGGCATTTAAAGCCATGGAAGTGCATGAAATCACCAAGGGAATGAATAGACAGAAAAGAGGTCCAAGGACAAAACCCTGGGGCACTCTGCCAAGAAGGGGCTGGGGAGAAGCAGGGCAGCTGGCAGAGGGGACTGCCAAGTAACTGTTGCCTCCTCCTCTCTCCCTCCACATACCTAAATTTAAAACAGGTGGAGTACCCATGATGACCCTCTGCATGGAAATCTGGCGCCTGTTAATTCAGAATCATTCTGAAAGTACAATTACTAACTATTTTTAGATAAGATGATACTATCCATCATATCTGAAAACACTAAAAATAGTGGAATCAATTCAATAGCCCATTTTAACAATTTGAATTATATTCACTATTACGACTTAGATTTTGTTAGCCATTCATGAGAACAGGCTAAACTTCCTAACTTTTTCTATCGCTCAGTTCACTTTTAAGTATAGAAGAATACCACTCAGAAGACCAAGTTAAAAACTGAGTAAAATGTGGGTTTCATCTCTCAAATTCCAAATGTTTTTTATTTTATGAAGTGACATCATATGCCTGAAGTTTGCAACACTGTCGCCTTGAAAGTCTAACTCCTCCTGATTCTAACAAAACATTCTGAATGTATTTTCTTATTGAAAAAAAAATCAGTAAGGAACAAGCTCTTTAAGAAAAGCTTTCATCAAATTCCTTGCAACAAAGTATTTTTCTTTTTGCTTCTCCAAGAATCTAAACCATTTGTGTTTCAATTCATTCACTAAACAAACGAGGAGGTATGCCATGATATTCACAAAGCAACATGTAGTTTTAGAGCCGTGTGGCTGAGGACCAACAATAAATTGCCAATGAAAGTGCGAAATGTCCAACTGTAGGTCGTGGGATGCATGGAAAAGACACAATCAGCAGACGTAATGCAGTACGAAGCCAACCTCTTGGTTTCCCCGATGCCTTAAAGGACAAAATAAACAAACAAAAAGCTCCTATAGCCCAAAGAACAGGCCCCATATGAAAATACCTCGCATTTCTGCAGCCACCTCCAAAGTCTGAAATTTTTGTTGGCTCTCATTTTGGCTTCCGTTTTTAGCATGTGGATAATGAGCCGATTTTTGTTTTGTAAAGCCATATCAAGAGGTGTTTCTCCCTTTAAAAAAAAAAGAAAGAAGAAAAAGTTCAATTATATTTCCATTCTATTGTCAGTGTTAAACATTTGATACAAACTCACCAAAATCATAGACTCAACACATTTATTCCGAGGGTAGCCAGCTATTATTGTTCATATCCACCCTGTGGTAACCGAAGACATGTATTGCTTATCTTTCTGTTAATTCCCCCATCTTCTAACTGAAGACATAACAAAGGAGATCAATACCCGGTCATACCTTAACATTTCGGACATCCAGGCTAGAACCAGCTTCCAAAAGTTTATCGACTGCATTCACGTTGCCTGCTGCAACGGCCCAGTGGAGCGGAGTGTTTTGGTGTATTTTATCGACCACGCTGAGAGAAGGATTAAACTTTAAAAGAAATCCAGTTGGTTCTGGCCTGTCTCAAAACAACAAAATACCAAGGGGCATTAACAGAGACGATGATTTGAAGGATAAATGCAAATGATGACTCTTTTAAGCTAATGTATCAGTTAACCAATCATTACGTATTCTGAACAACCAAGAAACTTCTTTGCGTAGACTTTTATTCCTTGTGCTAAGAGGAGAAACCAAAAAAAAAAAAAAAGAAAAGTGACAGTCTGTTCTATAGATGATTATTTTAACATCAACATAATGGTGGAATAGTAGTTTTTGTTTTCCAAACTTTTTACTTTCATCTTGTTCTTCTATTGGCTAACATTTTTTTAAAATGTAAGTTTAACTTTGGCCAATATTAAATGATATGTTATTTATCTATTTAAAGACTAAATGTACAACATTATATGTGAGGAGATAAACTAAAAACTAACTTCATTTCCTCCTTCTAACCAATTATTAAATAAGTCAGGTGTTAATAACATCCTAAAATATTTGTGCATCCTAGAATTGGACTGGAAGACAGAATTCAATCAAATACTTTTACTTTACCACCAACACTTTCCCTACCTTCATGACTACTCAAGAGACTCTTTTAACAAAACAATATCCTACTTTACTTATTCTATCAAGATCTTTAAACACTGGATCTGACTTCAGAGTTATCAGTGAAGATGATAAATGTTTAACAAAATTCTACCCCAGCCCCACCACTCCACGAACAAAGAGGAAATGGCATTAGAATTAACTCAGTTCGCTGGAGAAGAGTCCTAAGCGAAAGCGGAATCAGAAATTAAGTACAGCCCTGGAGACAACCTGTAAAGGGAAACCTGGAGCACGCGTTTGAACAGAAGACTAGATGGTGGACCATATGGCGTCATTAATCACGTGTTTATAAAATAAATACACAGAAAAACTTAAATATGTAAGTACCTGATGTGAACATATAAACAGCCTCTTTTTATAGATCAGTTACATTAATATTTTCAGACCAGTCAATAACGTCAGAGAACCAAAATTTACTGTTTTCCAGAAACCAGATTTATCAGCTAGATTTCAAATTATGAGGACATTTAAACATGTAGCCATTTTTTAAAATGTAAACTAAGAAATGTAAGTCATGTTAACAAGTACATGCTATGGAATCTCTATCTGTCCTCTAAGGAAATTTTTTCTTATTAGTAGCTTTCAAACTTTCCCCTAAAGCTATCAGAAAACAGAAAATTTACTTCAATGGTGCTTTTATAACTACAAGTACATTAAAAGTTCATATCACAGTCACAGGGTGGAAAATCCTATTTTCTTCTTTAGAATGCAGTGTCATCTCACATAGACTGAGATACTTAAAATTATATCCATGGAAAAGAAACCGTCAGAAACAAGAATCAGAATGAGGCAATTCAATTAAACTCACCCAAGTACTTTGTGAGCCGCTAACATTAGAGGTGTCTGCCCATTTAAATCTGTCATATTCACACTCTGTTCAAAAAGAATATACCAGCACAACTGTGAACACAGTTAAAATTCTCTATCCTCTCTTAACAGAAGTATCTCTTTAATACATTCAACAGAACCATTGTGACCACAAGAAGTGTTCAAAGATCATTTGAATAACAAAATGTTCTGCTTCGCATCCATAGGGTAAAAATTCACTGATTTCTACAAAATATTTTTAAAGGGAAAATCTGAATATATGATTTAAAGCGTTGATGATGTGAATGGAAGAGAGCTAAGGGAAAGAGAAAAACACTGATAATGACCATTAACTAAAACTGTAGAGACCTTAGCAGTCATCTAGCTCAGACCCTAACTGACACATTAATTCATATTGATATCTTACAGTCACTCGGTCTCTACTTAAACTCTTCCATAATGGTAAACTCTTTATCTTTTGAGACAACTCATTGTATTTTTGGACTTATCATATCATCTTTCAAATATTATAACATGAAAAATTCTATTTTCTAGAATATAGAAAAAGAAAGGAAATCATATCTCCACGAGGATATGCTCCTTTTAATAAAATGGGTCCAGGTTTGAGGTGTACACTAAGGTGTACAACCCAAAGAGCGAGCTTCAATTACTAAAGACTCCTATGGCCTTGGGAAGGAGCCCAAAGAACAGCAGAAAGGACTCCTCCCCCATAAATCTTTCCAAAAGAGACCCAGGAGGTTATAATTATTCTACCTCAGTTGGCTAAGTGTGAGAGAAAGTGCTTATTTAAAGAGAGTACAATCATTCCAACAGCATTTGTGCAAACATGTGTCCACACGTGTTACAGGCGAGTCTGCTGATACATAAACTACTCTGCTATCAGAAAGCACATCCCAGGCAGTGAAACTCCCACTGCCAATAACCCGTAATTTAACCTGTGTCATAAATGGATGCCTCTTAAGGCAAGTCATTTTTCATGGAATTACTTTAGAGAACAATAAGAAGCATACATTCAAATTGGTTCCCCATTTGGACTCAAATAATGAAAGCAAGTGATGGGTTAATTTAGCAATCTGACTACTCTTTCTACCTCCAACCAGAAGAAAAATACGGGCTGTGAAGTCACATTTTTAAAAAACCCTGCAAATTACTAGGATCATAAGGAAAACTATTACAGGCTTACAAGTTTCAGAAACATCTATTATATGTTACTGAGCTAAACGACCTGTCTTTTTTGCTCCAAGAAAGTTGGAAAAGCAGTATTCAATAGCTAGACTTACTGAGGCTAACACTTGAATATCTGGATATACTTTAAAAATGAGGACAGACTACGACTAACACCCTTCCCAATCTCCTCAGATTTACCATAGCTGGAGTTGAAGATGGATTTCAAAACATACCTGTCCTTTAGAGATGAGATATGCTATGATGGGCATGTGCTGAAATAATACTGCCAGGTGGATGCAGCTGAATCCCTCTCCATCAATGAGAGTGGGGTCTGCGCCATACTGTAGTAATAATATGACCATAGGTAAATGCCCTTGTCTGTAAACAGAGGATAAACATTATACTGTATTCTGTAGCATGCAGAAAAAGAAAAACGTCCAGGAGAAACTGATATCCCTAACACATGAGGGATTTTGATTAGATATAAGGAATATTTCCTAACAGTGAAATTTGTAAACCACTAGAAGATTGTCTACACAACTTTTACTGAGATGCTCCAAACTTAGAACTCTCTGGGCAGTCCCTGAGTGCAGGTGATACAGTCAACCTCCCAATCTCGCTGAAACCTTATGGTGCACCCCCAGCATGACTAATGCTAAAACTGAAAACTCTGAAACCACTCAGACTTCACTGCTGCTATTTTAAAAACAAAAAATAATCATGAGTCAGATATGCGAAAGTAGCATATTTATAGACTGCAGGTATGCCGTGAGAAGATTATTCCTAGGAACTACCTATTTTTATACTGAATATGGTTCATTTTCCATGTAAAGCACTGTTACCTCAGTAGCTCAAAGGGGATGAATTTGCCCTAGATTCTTCAAAACTCTTGGCTACGGAGAAAAGATTCAATTCCTTGCCTTAAATGAACAATCCTTCACTTCAGTTTCAGGTTCCTGTCAACCCCACTAACCACAGAGAGTAGAGATAAAATAGAAGACGAAAAAGTACTCATTAACCTCAGCTGCAGATGGTTAGTACCCACCAGAGAAAAGAACTGGCTGAGTTTACAGTTCACCGAACTATCACTTTTATCCATGGGGCCAAATATAAACGATATTTATCTGATTATAAAAAAGAAAGTATAACACACATATGTGAGTTTGAGCGTTATAGTGGAGCCCTAAACTGAACACAAAAAACAACTCTGGAAACTCTTCAAACTGTCATTTTTTTTGAATTAAGGGAAAAAAGGAAAAGAAAGCCTTTCAAATTATCTACAACTGCAATTTCCAATGTGGTGGCCGCTAGACACACATGGCTATTTAAATTTAAACTGGTTAAAATGAAGTAAAATTAAAAATTCAATTCCTTAGTTGGACCAGCCGCACTTCAGAATGCACATTTCACATGTGACTAGTGGCTACCATATTGGACAGCACAGAAGGGAATATTTCCATAATTGCAGAAAATTCTGTTGGAAAGTGTTGGTCGATAATGTTCAGAAAACGAACTCAAGTCACTTCTGATTGTGAACAGCAATTTCAGTTCTAAAGAAACCTTTACCTGACAGCCCAGTGAAGAGGAGTTGAATTTAAGTCTCCACCCAGCTGATCCACCACGGCGCCTTTTGAAATATAAAACCTGTTAAAAGCAGACATAGACAAGAATAAGACCTAAAACTCGAAATCCATACTGAGAAAGACATTAATTTTTCTTAGGAACAAATGTGTTGGAAAACAGAAATGATAACAATAACCTTCAAATCTACAGAAAGATTCACACCACAGTGTCAAACATATGAAACAATTCTTAGCGTGTAAGTAATTACACCTGCTGTCAGGGGTATTCGGTAACTCAGATACCACACTCACGACAACCACTGCCCATGTTCTAACCACAGCGTTCTCGAAACGGTTTGTGTTCAACAGGTGTAGATAACACACAAATATTCTATTTAACTTGCAAGAAGAAAGGTCAAATCATGCCACTGTTAACAGTTTAAAATTAGAATTACCATGTGGGAATGAATTCTAAAAGTAAGTAGTAAAAAATTAATTCAAAATCCTTTCAGAAAAGTTAGACATTTCGTGTTTTGCTCTCTATTTTGGGAGCACAGATGTGATGCACCGTATAAAATGAATCTATGAGGTAAAGAGATTTATTTTCTTCTGTGGTTTACAGGAATTAGTCTCATTATTTCCAAGTTGTGCTTCATATATCATATTCTGTTTAAACAATATGCCAGTTTATTTCCACAGAAAAGGAGTTTTGCCTGTGAGTAAAATGTGTTAGGATATTTTAAACTTTAGTATATTTTTATTTTCTTAAACCGAGGATTTTAAATATGTATAATACAAAATATATACACATTCAGATACACACATATATATTATATGCTAAGGTATAAAACAAAGAAACAAACAAAAACAATGGGTAGGCAGTAGTGCTTTACGATGGGGAAATATTCTGTACAATCTAGTACATGCCTACTTAGAAATGTATTCCATAGTTAGTTTTAAAACAAAAAGGCTGAATTATTTCCCTACTCATCTAGTCCTCCTGGCATTATCACAATGTAAAATATTTCAATGTTTCTTTCCAAACTACATGAAACTTTCTCTTCCATCCTGTGAAAGTGTACGTCATGCTTTTCCTTTCCAAAAAATGTTCACTTTCATTTCCTAAACTTTATCTTTATAATGGGCCCCTGTGGCTTTATCTTTAATTTTCCTTTTTGGGCCAATGAGTTTCCAAGGTCATTTTCAACGCTATGACAACCGATGTGTGTGGCACGGTTTCAGGTGTACATTAACAATAAAGGATTACAGATGGTTCAACATTCATACTTGCACTTGAAGAAAAAGACAAATGAAGGAGAGGTTTAGAACTATAAATACACACTTAAATAACCACATATATCCCATCTTACTTTACGAGATCCAGCCTGTTGTTAATAGCAGCCCAATGAAGAAGTGACACATTTTCTTTGTCTGGTTGCCTGACATCATATCCCGCTTCTACCAACTCTTTACATCGTTCAAAAATCCCGTATCTTGAATAAGGGGGGAAAAAGAGGCATAATTGATACCATTAAAATAATTTCAAATATCAAAATTTCCTGCTTTACCATGTCTTTATCCAAACTGTCTTTCAACCAACACAGGAATACAATAATTAACAAAGATATAGACAAACAGGACCTATCGTAAAGCCAAACAACAACAGTACACCTGGTTTACCAACTGGTCAGAGCCAACTGGAGTGGAACATGACTTTCTCAAATAAAATTTAACAGTCACATCTGCCCTCCTTCAATAAATTTCAGTTGATTTTCCACTACGTGCCAGGAATACACGGTGTCAGTTCCTAACTTACAGTCTTATCCCCGAAGCAAACTAAGCCCATGCAATGACCTCACGATAACTGAAAGCAAACTTGGAATGGGATAAATTCCACACTAAAATATGGACGAGGTACAGGTACTGCAAGGGAAGGAGTGACGAGCCCTTCCTAAAGGAGATGAAGTATAACATACGAGCTATGTTTTCCAGGCTGAAGGGAGAGCATTTTAGGCAGAGGGAACAGCATGCGTAAAAATCAAGAGATGTGAAACGGCATGGATGTTCAGGGAAACATGAGCAACTTAACACGGCAGGGGCATAAAGCAGAAGAGAGGTACGGCAAGAGATGAGGCAGAAGCCGCAGGCAGACCCACGGGCCTTCCACGCCGTGCTGCAAAGTTTAGACTTTATCTATGGTTCAAGGGAAACCACTGAGGGTTTTAAAGACAAAAATACTCAGACTTTGAGTTCTAAGAAAGATCATATTTAGCGGCAGAACGGAAGCTAATGAGAAGAGAGTGAGGCAGAGACTGACAGACCAGTTTAGAGGCTCCTGCAAGAAACACAGACGAGTCTCAAGAGCGGCAACAGGAATGGACAAGGAAGGACGGACACGAGAGTTCTTTAAGGGAGTGATTTACTGACTGACTATCAGAGTGAAAAACAGGAGAGAAATACCTCTTTTTAATGCTACAATACTTTTAAAAATCATTTATTAGCAACGTTCCTTTTCAATAGAAACTCAAGTCCAACAGACCACTTAGCACTTTCTTTGAAAGTTATTTCTATTTAGAGGGACGTGCAAGTTTCAATAGGCCCTCAAGGGTCAAAATCAAACCAAATGGCAGAGCTGCCTCTGTTTCCCACACTGGTAAATTAAATAATCTCTGCCTCACCAAAATGTGCATGTGCCTGTGTGTCTGTCCGTCTTGACGGCATTTTTAATTTATTTTTTATTTTTTTGGTGAGGAAGATTAGCCCTGAGCTAACATCTGTGCCAGTCTTCCTCTATTTTGTATGTGGGACGCTGCCACAGCATGGCTTGACGAGCAGTGTGCAGGTCTGCACCTGGGATCTGAACCCACAAACCCCAGGACACCAAAGCAGAGCATGTGAACTTAACCACTATATCACCGGGCCAGCCCCACTTATGGCATTTTTAAAAGTTAGAGCTATCTGTTTGACAACCCTAAGTGAAAATATTAAAAAGAACGAATTGTTGATTATGATACATATATGTATATCCTCCATCTTTTAAATGTCAACTTCAACATTTTACTGGAAAAGAAATTGCCTTTATTTGAGAAATATAATAAGAGTAGACACTAATTAGAATTTTTGGTGGTTTAGGAAACATACACACACATCCTAGCTCTCTTTTGCCCTTCCCAAATACTATGTAAACATATTTCCACAACCACTTGAGTCAGTCAAAGACCTAAAGGAAATGTTAGCAAAGATATAAAAATGTGAGTTTTTACTGAGACTCCCTGCAAATGCAGCCTAATTTCTCACATTTATCGTAAGAGAGCTTTACGGGTAGCAGAGAAACATTTAAATGTTTCCATTCTAATTAAAGCAAAATTTACCTTAAGAACACTCTCCTCTTCACATACATATAATAATACAAACAATGTCAAATAACATCAGCCAAAGCAGCGGTTCCCAGGACCTCTGGAGTTCAGATAAACTACTAATTAGAATACTCAAATAATTGTCAATTATTTTTTAACTAACCTAATAACACATTAGTCTACATTAAGGCCAAACAGGCTAATTAATCAGTAAACATCTTTGCTTTTGACAGAAATTACATCGAGTTAGTGTGGTACCATTAGTTCCTTTCATTCTGATTAGAAGATGTGATGGGCAGATTTATACTTGCTTACTAAGAAAATGGATTACTAATTAATGTAATCCGATAGGCAATATATTTTAAAATATGTTCAATGGCAAAAAGTGGGGTGGATGTTGATAATCAACCAGATCCATGAGGATGAAAAGGTTAGAAATAACTTAATGCAAATACTCACATATGGAGATCTTTAGGAAAAACTTTCAAAACATACTTCCATTTTTAGTGCAAGCAAAACAAACCACCATAAGTTTCAAGTGGTCAGAAAACCTATTTCTACTTCACTGCCTTGTTTCTAATGCACCCAGTACAACAGGTAGATAGAAAGTACTCAATAAGTACATAAATGTTTAGATGATCCATAAATGTGTGAGGTGATATTTTTCCACCCCATCTACATATTTAGGTTGTAGTACATTTTAAAAGACTCAGATTTGTGTTTCAAACTCAGAGTCCAGTTTTAATGTTATTTTAAATCATTCATTCACTCAACATTTATTGGGCACCTAACACAAGACATGAACTGTGCAAAAGCACTGGGGCTACAAAGACGAAAAAGACAGGCTTTTGCAAAGAAGCTGCTCCCAACCTAGTGGGAGAGCCTGGTAACAAACAGCTCAGGTGCACTGCACGCACTTTATCACAATTCAGCAGAACACGAGCATAAAACAGTGCATGGGAAGACTTACTGAGTAGCCTTTACAATGTCACAGTTACTAGAGTCCTCTAGAAGAGGAAGAGCTTCTCTCGCCTTGGCAAGATCTTTGTTTTCATGTGCACAGACTCCATGTCGACCGAATCCTGGCAGGTGGGGGCCATGGCTGTGATTCCTGCACTGAAGAGCAAGAGAATTTGACCAGGCATAGTAAGAGAATTAATGTCTCATTCAATTACACAATGAAGCATCTGCTACTATCAACAATATCTATATTATTAATTAGAATTTTTTTTGAGTATTAGAGGTGTGTATCCTAGGGAAGATTTTCATCTTAATTCTGTCACTAGAATTAGCTGCTTAATATTAGAAAATTCCAAATTACATATTTTGTCATAAAACAAAGGTCATCTGCGAAGGCACAAATGGACTTGTTACTTGCAGTAGGTGGAAGGTCATGGCTACTGACACAGTAGGAAGGTCAGCAGGCCTCTGCTTTGGGGGGTTGTGGCAGACACACCCTAAGGATACCCTCTAATGAATCAAGTTGTTAAATATGTATAACTGGAGTCCCAGGAGAGGAGGAAATATTTTTTAATATCTGAATAAACAATAGCCCCAAATCTTCCAAATTTGGTGAAAATTACAGCTCAACAAACCCAAGCAGGATAAACCTCAAAATCTTACACCAAGGCATATCATAACCAAATCACTAAAAAACAAAAAAAAGAGATAATCTTAAAAGCAGCATAAGGAAAAAGAAACATTATTCAAAACAACAAAGACACAAATGAACTCAGACTTCTCATCAGTGAGCACAAGCCGGAAGCCAAAAGCACAACAGTTTTAAGGAGCCGAAAGAAAAAACTGTAAATATGGAAACACCAGCAAAAATGTTCTTGAAAAAAGGGGGTGAAATATAAACTTTTTCAGACAAACAAAAGCTGGGAAAATTGCCAGCAGACTTATACTACAAGAAATGAGAAAAGAATTTCTTCAGGCTAAAGGAAAATAATAACAGATGGAAATCTGAATCAGTACAAAGGAATAAAGAGGCCAGAACTACATGGGTAAACATAACAGACTTTTCCTCATTTATTAATTTCTTGGAGCTACACTGTTTAAGAGACGCTATAACAGTATTTGCAGGTAGCCAGTGAAAAGTTAAAGTGGATAACGTTATCCCCAGAGCAACTTCTAAATAAATAAGGTAAAGAGGTACGTGTAAGTGATAAGCCAATAGCAGAGATAAAATAAAAAGTGGATAACGTTATCCCCAGAGCAACTTCTAAATAAATAAGGTAAAGAGGTACGTGTAAGTGATAAGCCAATAGCAGAGATAAAATAAAATACTTAAAAGATACTCAATATTTTTTTAAAAGACAGGAAAAGTAGAAAAAAAAATGAACAGAGAAGAAAAAGGAAAATATCCAAGATGATATATTTACACCTAACCAAACTGATTATTATGCTAAATGCAAATATTCAAAAAATAACATAAAAAACAAATGAAAGACAGAGATTGTTAGATTGGATTTTCAAAAACTACAACTATATGCTGTCCACAAGAAATCCACTTTAAATATAAAAACATACATGGGTTAAAAGTAAAAGGACAGAAAAGCGTATGCTATGCAAAAGCAATAAGCATAAGGAACGTAGTGGCTATGTGAATATAAAAGTAGCCATCAGCACAAGAAATACTTGCAGAGAAGAAGAGGAACATTTCATAATATTAAAGAGGCAATTCATCAAGAAGACATACTGATCTTAAATGTGTTTGCGCCCAAAAGGAACTTTAAAATTCATGAAGCAAGAACTGATGGAACTGAGAAAAAAATAGAAAGATTCACATTTATAGTTGGCTATTTCAACTTTCTTTCAGTAACTGATAAAATGAGTAAACAGAAAACCATACTGAATAGGGAAAAGGAGAGGAATCAGAAAAGGATAGGGAAGACTTCAAGAACACTATTCACCAACTTGATCCAACTGACATTTTCATAAAACTCTACCCAACAATAGGAGAATACTCTTTTCATGTGTATATGGAATACTCACCAAGACAGACGACATGTTGAGCCATAAAACAAGTCTCAACAAGTTTAAGTTGACTGAACTCACACAAAGCATGTTCTCTGACCACAATGGAATTAAATTAGAAATCAATAACCAAAGGATACATGGAAAATTCTGAAATATTTGGAAACTAAACAACACATTTCTAAATAACCCACAGGTCACAGAAGAAAACAAAGAAAAGTTAGAAAATACTTTGAACTGAATGAAAATGAAAACATCATGTAACAAAATGTGTAGGA